GGTGGTGGTGGTGGTGGTGGTGGAGGAGGAGGAGCAGGAGGGCAGGGGTCTAAAGGGGGGGAGAGGAAGAGGGGGTGGAGTGAGGAGGGGTAGGATTGTGAGGTGTGTTTGAGCCTGTGCTGGATACCTCATCTAGGTTCTATGGCTGAAGCGTGGTTCAGGATACTATACTGTTGCCTTGAATTTGATAATACATATTGTTTTGCTACCACCGCGGACAGTATCTGAGAGAGGTAGAAAAGGTTATCGCGCATAGGGGCGTGCCATGGGTTGAAAAGGTAAAGAGCAACGCCATCAAAGTAAAAGTTTACACCCTCGGTAGCTATATTCTTTGCCCTCCAAGTGCAGCCCTCGAGTTTGAATCCTTTTCTCTTCCGTGCATAAAAAAACGACAGATCTGGTGACACCCACCATCAAACCATCACCACCACCCACCACCACCACCATTCAACCATTCAACCATCAACCATCCAACCATTCCACCACCACCACCCACCACAACCCACTCAATCAAACCAATCACCAACCACAACACCCCACCCCCACAGCAAAAAAATGGCCAGCCCTACCTCTACCCACCACCCTCACCACCAATCAAGCAGCGCTCCCCAGCCAACCTCATCGTTCCCCCCATCAACCCCTTCCCAGACACCCTCAACTTGAACAATCGCACCTCCACCCCAACCACAACCCCCCTCCCCTCTTCCAACCCCCCCGCCGCAATCTCCTTCATCGTCATCTCCTCCCTCGTCATAATAATCACCTTCCTCGCCGCTCTATACATCAACATCCGCGCCCGCAAGCACATCCACAAACAACAACAACAACAACAACAACAACAACAACAACCCCACCAACTCCAAACCTGGACCCCCCTGGTCACAAAACGACAAGAGGAGCGCGCCAAACAACTCCATCTAGAAAAGCAAGACCAACTTTGGGAAGGGCAGGAGGAGAGAACAAGAAGAGGGGAGCTGCTCCGGGCTGGAATGGAGGTTGGTGCCATGGCGGGAAGACTCTCATCGGAACGAGAGAGGGCAGAATTGAGTGGGGATGGGAGGGACGGTGTCAACAATCATGAGAGTGGGAAGGAGGAGGAGCAGGAGGGGAGTGTGATACGTGAACCGCCGCCGCCGCTGTATTCCCCCCCATGGGTAGGGAAGCAAGTGGTAGATGATGCCTCTACTACTAGGGCTGTGCGTTCGGTTCTGTGAGGTGATGGGCGGCCTATTATAGGTGATCAACAAGGGAAGGAGCGGGCTTTTTGGGAGTTTAAGGGTGGAAAAAGATGGATCAGGAGGGGTTGAAATTATCTCGAGGCCTGTTGACCAGCTTTCGAGATCTGTCGACTTTCTTTCGGGGCCTATCAACTATCTTTAAAGGCCTGTTGGCTGTTTTTCATGCAAGGTAAAAAAAAAGCCATGCAAAAGCAACTATAAAACAGCTAAACAATCCCAAACTCACACCTCTCCCACCACACAACTAACCTCCCGTCTAAACGGCACTAAGACACCCCATAACACATAGCTCATATCCCTCACCACAACCACGCCATCCCCTAGCCCAACTCCAACCTCCCCAACTTCCCCCTCAAAACCCCCTCTAACCCACCCCCATCCCTACAAAACCCCGCCAGCTTCACCGCCCCCTCCCCCGACCCCCTCGCCCTCTCCGTCTCCCCAGCAGCAAAACAATCAATCCCGTGATTAAACGCCGTAGCAGCCATCCACTCCAGTTCCTCCTCCGGCCAGCCAGCCTCGCTCTCCCTTAACTCCCTCGCCTTCCCGCACGCCTCCTCCAGCAGCCTCATCGCCAACCCGTCATCCACCGGCAACGTAGCCTGGAACAAACACCTCGTATACTTTGCCAATTTCACCGCGTCAAACGCCTCGAGCGCCCAAATCTCATTGACAAGTCTTCGCATGGTTGAGTACAGAACTGCTTGGGGTGTTAGTTAGCTTGTTTGGGTAACAAAAGGGGGGTAGGGGGGTTACCTTGCCCTGGAGCTCTCGCTCGGAGCAAACTATCCGCCATAGCCTGAAAAGCCGTCACACTTTTGCAGCCGACTGCTCTTTGCACAATCCCACCCAAATCATCCCACGCTTCCAGCACTACCGCGGCTTCAAAGTCAAATGTCAGCAGCGTGGCGTGTTTCCTTAGCATGTCATCCCTCGAGTGTTCGTCTAGCCGTGGCAAAAGCTCTGGAAGGTCGGTATCGAATGCCAAAACATGTTCTCGCATGGCAGTGTAATATTCTAGTTGCTTCGTGACATTGTCTTCCGCCCGTGCTTGGGAGACCAACGCCGAGGAAATGATGAACCGGGAAAAGAGCATCTTCAAACCCATCTCAACAAGCTGAGACCCTCCCATGTCAGGCGGAAAGTGGCCGGTGATATGGACGCAAGAGGTGAGCATTCTGACTATGTACCGTAGGTCCCACGTTGTTGTGTTCTTCAGAGCGAGGTTATAAGAGTTGCGGCTGAACCACTCGAGTTCGTCAACCGTAAACAGCTTACGTCTTGGATTCTCTTTCTTCTGCTTTTCGAGGGCGACAACGACTGTTTGATCGGTCAGGGGGCTGCCAGTATGGGCATTCAGGGGTAGCTCACCAGCATCAAACATATCGCAAAGGTCTTCAACAACCCCGTTTTCACCAGCGTCTGCCCTATCAACGAGCATGTTCAATAGTCGAATGGTACACCTGAACAACGCCGGCAAATGTGTCGGATTCGGTTCCTTGTACTCATATCGATCCTGCAGCTTCTTGAGAGCGGCAATAGCACAGATGACGTCCCCAGCCTTCTGGGACTCTGCAATACAAGCCCCCAGAAAGTCGACATGTTCAGGTGTCTGACTGATAGTTTCGAGACATTTTCCAGCCAATACTCGGTCTTCAGTCCGTATGGCGACTTTGAAGGCAAGATATGCGGTCATGGGCTCCTTCCAGCTCGTAGCCGACATGTCGTTGATGACTCTTGTTGCCGTCTCCATGCTGTTACGGGCCAGAGCACAGAGGAGAAGCTTTCTTTCTTGACGTCAGTCCTTAAATTCAACATCGGGATGGCTTTGAATTACCTTTCCAGCTTTGCATTATTCCCAGGACCGCCCTTCTCAAAGATGGGCGCCAACGCCAACTGACACCAAGCCTCGGCGAGCGCGTATTCCCCCTGAGTATACGACAACTCCAACTTCTTCCACAACAGCTACACCATCATCATCAGCATTCTCTCTTCTGCCCTTCCACCCAAAGAAAACTCACCGCCTGCGCAGCAACCGCCGCCTCAGCGCTCACAGCCCTCGCAACATTCCCAAACAACTCGCCCAACCTCCTCACCGTCTCCATCGAATCCCTCTGCTGCGTCATCATCCACATCCTCGTCACCAACGCCTTCTCCATAAACTCTTGCCCACCAGTTCCCCCCAATGTCCTCAACACCAAAATAAAATCATCCATCACCGCACACCCCGCCCCAGGAGCCTTATCATGCAACCTCCTCACATGATGCACAACCAACTTGAACTCCGCCCCCGACCCCATCCCCTTCTTCCCATCAAAGTTCCTAATCAAATGCCTCAACACATCTGCATACCCCTCCTCATCAAACACCTCCGCATTAGGCGTCTTATACATCACCTCCAACTTCAACAAACAAACCACCATCTTATTCCCCATCTCCACCTCCACAAAATCAACATAATTCTTCGCCTTCTCATAATTCTCCTCCGTTCCCGTCCCCAGCAACGCAGTAATCAACGCCTGCAAAATCGCCAACCTCAGCTCCACCCCCTCCCTCGTAAGCTGCTCAACACCCACACTATTCACCACCTCATTCGCCCTCTCCAACCACTTGACCGCGATCTTATAGTCCTCCTTCCCGCTCAGACTCTTCCCAATCTCATACAGCACATCCGCCAACCTCTCGGTATAATCCCTCGTGAGAAACCCCCTCAGGCGCTCAGCACTGCTGTACATATGCTCGGCAACATCCAACCTCCCCTCCACCCACGCCAGCGCCGTCCTCCAGATGAAGTACTCCACCTCCAAACAATTCGCCTCACTAACCTCTTCCTCCATCCAGCCTTCCCGTCCCAAATCTTGCAAATGAGTTTTGTGATCGGCCACAATCTGCAGCGCATTCCCCGACAGCTTCGTCTCCTTCGTCCCCACCAAGTCCCTTGTTATCTTCAAACCGAGTTTGATCACATCCACCAGATCACTCCTCCTCTTCCTCTTGTTCCTGGCCGAGCGGGCAAACACCACCAGCCAAAACCCCAGCGCCTTGCCATAGAGCGCAAGTTTCCTCAGCCGAGTATTGGGGGCCTCAGGCGGGTTGATCGGGTCGTTGCAGTCCCGCCATAATCTCGTGCATAAATTCCACAGCCTGACACCAACACCATCAATGTCAATTTCTTCGGGCGAGTGCTGCTGCTGCTGATGCTGCGCAGAGGAGGAGGGCTGAGGCCGTTGGCAAAGCAAATGAAGCTTGTCAATATGTTCAGTAATCTCCTCAGTAAGCCCTTCCGCGGCAGGTATATCATTCGGCACAGACAGCAGGTTCAGCAGTCTGTTGGCAAACTCGACACAGGGGGTAATCCGCCTCTCGGTCTTGGACTGGGTAGGAGCGGGTGCTTCTGTCGTTAGCATGTGTGTTTGTCCTGTCGGCCGTCGAGGAGGTACAAGCGATCGAGGAGGAGGTGACGAGAAGGGCGGAGGTGACAGCCTCGGGCGGACACCAGTCCCTGCTCCTGTCGCTGAGACCCCCCTGGTCGGCGGGAGTGGTTTAGAAGGGAGCCTCCTATTGTGGCTGGAGATGGTCGATCGAAGGGGCGGCATTGTGTATAGATACCAGAGGCATCGCAACTAAGTCGGCATAGCGACAGAAGGAGAGGCAGAAAACGCTGAATTTGACTCTGCCTGATAGGCACGTGGACTAGCTTATGACAAATGGCCGCCCTCACCTAACCATCCAGTGGAAGGCGCGATCAAGGAGAACGGAAGGTGCTACCTATCCACCAGCACCTTCCTGATGTCAACCATCAACCCTATCCCTTTCCAAACCATCAACTCCAGCCATCAATCAATGTCGTCTTCCAATCCAACTCTTGTTGTTTTCCTGATTATTTCTCCTTTTTACAAGCTGACTCTAAACATCCACGTGTGTGGATACTCTTTGTTTTGTCGATGCTCCCACCGCATCTTATTATGCTCCCTGTTCTACGAAACGTCCTGATGCTTGCCCTGTCGGGCGGGTATGTTATAATAAACGACGATTTGATCCCACATTTAAGGGTCGTGGGGGATGAAGTTTCCAATGATCAAGCCCGGCCTGGGGAGTGTCAGCAAGACTGAAACGACAAAAGAGAAAAGAGAATGTCCACCACATACACTTGGGCGTTGTCCTTTTTTATCCTGAAAGAAAAGCAGCAGTTCACCACCTTTTTCGACGATTTATCGGGACTCTTGAGTGTGCAGGCTGTCAAAAGGGTGTCGTGGAGCGGATCGAAGGCAATGGTTCCAAACTCTTCCCAATACCGCACGACCGACTCCTCGGTCAGGATCTCGTGCAGTTTAGTCTTGCCCTGTGACGGGATCAGCAACCCAGCCATGCATGCCCCCTTTTGGTCGACCCAACACCTACATTTCTGAGATCCTCCACTGGCACGTCGATGAGCTCGGCCATCTCCTTGTTACCCCTGAAAATCTCCCCTGTTCGACGCCAGCAGCATGCCGGGACCGCCATGCTGGCGAAGACGCGGTCGTACTCCATTAGGGAACTCTCTATCTGCATCTCGTTGATGGTCAGAAACATGTGGTCTCGCCCCTGCATCTTTTCGCGAAACTTTGGCCGGAAACGATCGAGTTGTCGAAGGATCTTTTGTCTCGACCCCGGGCTGACGTGCTCGTTGAGATACGTTTGAAGACTCTGGTAGCCTTTGATATAGTTAAACGGTTGGAGGAGTCCAGCCTCGACTTTGGCCGTGAGAACCTGGAGCATGCGGTCATCCGCGTCGGCATTACCGCTGGGATCGGCTGCCTGGAGATAATATTCTCGGGTCTTGTCCTTGGAAACCGCAGCTGATTGTTCCGAATTGGCCGTGGGCAGAGAGGCCCCCGGAGCCGTGGCCGGGGGCGGCATGGAGCTGCTACTGGGAAACCCCGGGATTGGGCGGCCTTGGTTTTGACCATCGGGCGCAGCCACGGGGTCCTCGAATATGTTGGCTCGCAGGTAGTTGTTCAGGACGTCGAACTCACTCGACACCTCATGGGGAACTACAAAGCTGGGGTGATAGTTGTGCATATCGTGATAATGGCTTTGGGAGGCTAACCAGGAGTCAGGGAAACCGCCGACTGGGAGGGAAGGTTTTCAGCTCCTGGCGTAAGGAACGGACTGGGGGGGGGGGGGGGGGGATTTTCAGGCACCTACATTGGTTCATACTGCTACCCAGCGTGCTGCCTTGGAGGCCGGACACCGCTGTGGGTTGCACGAGCTGTAGCTGATTACTCTGGCCTAGCGCAGCAGCAGCATCGAAGGCGGCACTGGCGGCTGATCCTGTCCCGGAGCTCAAGCTCCCATCGAACGAGGCCAGTCTCAAGGCGTCTGCCGCTGTCTGGTTCATGTTGCCGCGGCCCAGGTCTGACTGAGACGCAGACCCGTGCGTAGTAGACGGGGCGACGACGCTCTTGGACTTGTTGGACCCCTGATCACGGGGCTCATCATGGCACAGGTGCCCGATATTCCGCTTAACACATCTCGTACATGGTCTCGCCTATTCACAGCACGGCCTGGGGTCAATAACTGCTCAAGCGCTGGGGCCAATGGTTCGCCGCCCTCTCCTGTTTCATCCCGGCCGCCAGCAAGCAGCAGACGGGAAGACTGGGGACGGGACGTCGACCAGGCGGAAGGGGGATAAGTGTACGTACAAGATCACACGTCATGTGCTGTATGTAGACGAGGGTGGAATCATCCCTGGTTAGCCACTGTAACAACTCGATATATGCATGATGTATGCGTATACAGTATATGGTGTGTAGTGCTCATTGTGAATAGTGGGTATGAGAGGTGAGGTCGTGTATGCGAGCACGCTGCTGCAGGGGCGCTTCTCCACGGAAGCTCTCCGTGGGGGGCAGCTGCCCAGCCAGCAGCCAGCTTCACTTAGATCAAGAAACAAAGGAAAAAAAAAAAAAAAAGACCAGAGGTGGCTGGAGACAGGGGTCCGGCGCACTGGGATAAATGACTTACAGATCGACGGCAGTAGAGGCAGGCTGTAGCAAATGGTGTCAGCATACAAACGCCATTCCCGGGGGACCGAAGCCATCGTGGAGCCGGAGGGGTGGTTCGACAAGACTTACCATGACTGACCTTGCGGCGCTTCTTGGGGGTCTGGTGGTGGGTGGTGTGGTGGTTGTGTTGGTTGTGTTGCTGTTGGTCGTCGGTAGAAGGCGCATGGTGATCCTTGGGCTTGGTGTTGCTCTCGGACTTGATGTCCTTGGTCTCATTCCCGGCGGTCCTCTCCATGGCTTCGGTTGCCGTCATTGTCTAGTGGACTCTTCTCCCATTGGGTCTCGTGGTTACGCAACGGGCTTCGAGTTCGTTGCTCATTTAAGCAGGGCCGGCGGCTTCTCGCAGCAAGTCGCGACCATTCAATGCCAGTTCCGACGCTGTTCTGCTGCTGCTGGCGGTGTCCTGGCGGTCGTCGTGCTTCTCTCTCGGTCTGGGTTCCCCTGTTTTTTTTTTTGCGCTCTCTGCGTCGGCCGCGGCTCGTGTGTCGTTCGGTTCGCGAAGCAGTCGTTCGGCTTTGTTGACTCGACACCTCGGCCAGAAGGGTGCGCGCGTTGGCGGGGCAGTATCCGTGATTTGGTGTTATTGAAGCTGGTGGCCACGGGGTCGTCTCTCCGGGCGGCTTGAGGTTGGAAGCATTGCCGGGAGGTGTACGGAGTAAAAGTTGTATGTATGGGAAGGTAGTCGCCGTCGTTCCTAAAAGAAATCCTCTCCACCCGCGGCACCAGCCAGCAGCAATGGGTCCTCTCTGCCGCCCAGAGCGGGACCCAGGCGCGGCGACCGGGGCTCAAGAGGGGCTGAAGTGTGAGCCGAGGGGTAAAGTTTACAGGGGATTCCAGGTGGGCTTAGCGCCAGTCATGGATCACTTACAGCATGAACCCACTGACGGCATGTCGCACGGGCTGCTAACTGGATCCAGTTCATCCTTTGTCGCATTTTGACAGTCATCTCGATTCTGTGTTCAACAATTGGATGGAGATTCGAGATGGTTTTTCATGTCTATAATTCCACCATTATAGTTATTACTACCATCGCACCCCGTACCTTCCCGGTTCCCGTCCTTTTGCCGGTTCCTGGCCGTACCTTCCTTCCCCTTTCCCACCGGGTACCTACCCCAACTCTCACCGAGTCGTGTGTGTTCTTTCCCTATCCGGCTCTACCAAAGGGCGGAAAGAGTGTCTCAAACTTTTCACATGACGAAACCTTCTTCTCGGGTTTCCCCTCCCTTTGAATGAATCAGCATCTGACATTGCGGGGATGGGAATGTTTTTCTTGCTGTTTGTTTACCTAATGGCCTACCTAATCATACACACTCACTGACAGGAACTCGGATCATTGTTTTACTCACTGATGTCCGCCTTCCGACATTTTATACTTGGCATTCTGCACGCCCACAGGAAGGGCATCGCTCAAGTCCAATGAAAATCTGTCATATGAGTAGCTTCGACAGCTGCTCTAGTCACGGGATGCTTGGCCCCTTTGGCCGACATAGGCAGTCCGTATGCTGGGAATCGAGATGCATCAAGGGATCGCGATGGGTGTGCAACAGATACGCCACTCGGTGCCTGCGTTGCACGACAGCCATCCAGACGGGACTGTTCTGGCGGTCAGGACCTAGATTCATATTCTGGGCTTCCCATCTTGAGGTGAGGACCAAAGGCGAGTTGATCGATCCTTCGACATGCGGGGCACACACGTTGGAGGCGATGGCTGTGATTTGCTCACCAACCAGCTGTTGTTGGATCAGCCAGCCAAGGCAGGCATCGCTGACATTCAACCGTCTGCCTGTCCTCAAACCCACCAAGACAAAACTCAAACATGCGCATGAGCCTCAGACAGAGGTCTCGAGTTTGACTCAGCTCAGTTTCGGGACGTCGACTACACCTTCCAATGAAGGTTTGCAGCCGCGATGGCTTCCTCGTCATGGCACGAAGCATCATGCAGCAGACCCGATGTGAGCTTGGCTGGAGGCATTCCGTTCTGTATGAGTTGCGGCTCAATGGGCCCCCTCGACGACCTTGAACCAAGTGAAACACCACCAGCCATTCCGATTCTCTCCGGGAAGCGATCTGGCCTGTCGCTCTCGTGGCCCCATTCAGTGAAATATGCTACGCAACTTACCGACGGCGACGGAAATGATCTTGGAGATGTGCTTCAGTCCGTGCTATTAACCGAGAAACCTGATGACTTGCAACTGGATGTCCAACAGGAAAAAATAGGGTCGGATCTGGAATCCAATTCTTCGTCGTCCACCATAGCCCAACAGTGTCGCACCTATCACCAAAGCCTGGTTCCCTCGGACGAAGTGACGGGCAATGACAGCATTCGTCTGCTTCGCCTCGGTAAGGGAAAAGGCTCGGAACCCTTGCACGGTACGCTGGAAACCCGAGAGCTCAAATACTTTCCCGAGTATGAAGCTCTGTCCTACACATGGGCCGATGCCAACGGCCAGGCTAGCCGGACCAAAAAGTTGTATCTGGGGAGGGAATGGGCTGTGTTCCCAATCACCACAAACTGCGACGCTGCTCTTCGTCATGTCCGCCTTCCCAACACTGAACGCTACATCTGGGTCGATACCGTTTGCATCAACCAGTTTGACAACCTTGAACGCTCGCATCAAGTTCAACTCATGCCTATGATCTATGCCACTGCTCAACGTGTGCTTGTTTACCTCGGTGAAGATAAACCGGAACGAAGCATGATCTCGAGACACCTCCCAGTTTTTTCCAAAGTGATGGACTGGAGCCAAAAGTGGGATGACCTGGGACCTATTCTGCAACGCCCCTACTTCTTTCGGAGCTGGATTATACAGGAAATCGCCTCTGCAAAAACAGCCTTGGTGGCCAATGGCGAATCATGGCGGGTATGGCCCGTCTATGACGAGAAAAGCGATGCGAGCCTGTTTCTCCCCTGGATTAAGGAATTCGAAACCCGAAAATACAAGACCTCCAAGCACCTTTTTCAGCTGATTACCGACTGCTGGACCTCACAGGCCTACGACCCTCGGGATAAGGTGTTTTCTCTTCTTGGGGTTATCACTGGCGCAGCGGCCGACGGTCTGGTGGCCGATTATACGCTCACCGTTGAGCAGGTGTATGTGCATGCATCCAGTTGAGCACATTTGTTGCTGTTGCTGATATTGATCACACAATAGATACACAGGCCTCGCTTCGTTTGTACTGAAAAATCATAAGCAGGCCGATCTTCTCAAGTACGCTGCTGGTTATGCCAAATGCCCAGGGCTGCCCTCATGGGTGCCGGACTGGGCTATCCTCTCCCGAAACTGGGACGTCATGGCTCAAATACGCGCCTTTCACTCTTTTGACACTCAAGCCAGTCTGATGAGCGCCTACAAGATCTCTTCTTACAGGACCGAGCACATCCGTGAGTCTTGGTTTATGGACGACGTCAGCAAAGTCATGTTCGCCGGCATCGATATCCACGGTCCTACTGGCTCTCTATTTCTGCCTGCGATGAAAATCACAGATCTCCCCTCTGACCAGTACTCACGCGTTCCGGCTCATCCTACCCTCCAAGTTTTACCCGATCAACCATCATTGCCACCTCCTCACGGCGGCATGACTTGCTTCCGCGGACCTCTCTTCGTGATGGCCATGATGGGACCATCAGATGACACGTCTTGCTTGTCTGTCTGGTTTCTGCATGGCATCAATGCACCCGTCATCCTTCGACAGTCACAATCCGGCAACAGCAGCATCTTTTCCTTCGTCAGCACCTGTCATGTCAGAGTGCAGACGGGCGTGTGCATGTTTCAGGGAACTGCTGAGGAAGAAATGTACAACCCCGCCAGCTACACGATCAGTGAGAAGGGCTATACCATCGGATCAGATGCCAAACGCAAGGACAAACAACGCCAATTTCCACCACCCAAGTTTGAGCCCTGGAAGAGATCGGTTTTGACCCGACCACGATTCTTGGAACATTTTGGCACGGATCGAATGGTGTTCGATCGGTGGGGTGACCTTTACTCGACAGCACTCCAAGATGCCACATTGAGAACCTGTGCCGAGTCGCAGCTTGCGAGGTTGCAAGCTCTGGGGGCGCACGCGGAGACGACCTGGACCGAATTCATCCAACGCGAAGTGCCGATCGTCATTCTGTTGCCATCGTTGAGGGGGGTTGATCTGATGGCACCAGTTGTGTTGCTTTTGGAAGACTTGGCGGAGTCACTCAAGCGGATGAAATTATTCTGGGAATCGATCGAGTCCCTTTTGGAAGCAGCCAAGATGCTGGGGAATACGGTTGAGGGCGCCATACGTGATGATTACGGGCGGAGGGCAGCAGAGCTGAAAATAATGAGTGTCAAGATGTTTGAAAAGGAGAAAGGTCGAGAAGCATACGTTGAGGATGGAGAACCTGGACAAGTTTGGTTGAGCCGGAGTGTCAGGCAGCTGTATACCTGTTCGACGGAGAAGAATATGAAGGAGATGGTGTTTAAAATGACGGCAAACTTGGATGAGCGCGGGGGTTTTGCCGTTGACGGTGATGGTGGGAGGGAGCAGGAGCAGTCTGAATGGGCAAAGGATGGGATACCGTGTCCGGTGTGGTATATGATCAGGCTAGGGTACCACAGTCGGTGGCTGGGTATGAGAAAAGACCAGCTGGAGCGTGGTAGGGGCTTTTTGAATGATTTGATAAATGGGCGCGGGGGGGATTGGAAGAGGACAGACCTGATGACGATGTTGGCTGGGGGGAAGGAGTTGCCTGCTAAGACGCCAAGGGAGCCTGGGGATGAGGAAGGGATGAGTGTGAATGAGGCTAATCTTGCGAAGACGAGGACGATGAGGGATGTGTTTGGGGAGGCGGAGATGGAGGTGAAGTTGACGATTATGGCGGTGAAGATTTTGATGGAGAAGAGGAAGGAGTATGCGAGGTTGATGAAGGGGGAGTGGAAGAAGATTGTGATTGTTTAAGCTATGGAATAGCTAAGGCAAAAGGCTCACCGGCCAACCCTCTCGTTTCTTATGTTGGGGAGGGGTGACTCGGTTACGAAAACCTTGACGTGCAAGATCTTACTCCGGATATGGATCGAATCGAGAAGGCTTTTGGGCCCAATCCTTCAGTTGGGAGCAGCTCCAATACTCGTCCCACTGAGGACCAGAGGGCCAATATGGCGAGAGTAAGTATTCGGAGCTGTTGAAAGGTGGGTGCGGAAGGTGGTGTATATACTGTAGTTGCTCCCCCCTTTCTCTGACGAAACATCGGTTTCTGGGCAGGATGCCTGACTGGTAACAGATACGATAACTATCATCAAGTCGCAAATTTGAGCAGTCACCCTCCATTGTGTGTGTAAACAAAGATGAACACAGTTCTGGGACCCCCATTTTCGATGTTGACACAGCCCTGACCCTCACCACTTTCTGCCCGTCTACATTCCCTTCTGCTCTCCCCCAGCAAGCCTCCCCAACCTCTTCTCCCTCCACCACCACGCATCCAGCATCGCAACTCCCGGGCCCCCCATCACACCAGCCAAAGCAACAACCGCCAAACCTCCAATCAACTCCCCCAACCCAACCGCCCCCGCAGCCCACACATCAACCATCAACCCCAAACTCCAAACCAACAAGCCCCCAAACGAACAGAGCAAATCATACTGCAAAAGCCCCCTCGTGCTCATCACAAACTCCCTCTTTGCCATGGTCACCGGCACAAAAACCTCCCAGAGGGAGAATCCGCTGTGGAGTATCACGTACCACCAAACCACCATGCTGATCCCCGCAACAACCAAACTCAACGCCCCCTTCCCAACCAACTTACTCCCCTTTGCCCATCCTGTTGGGATTGTTTTGGCAAGTACGGTATTTGCGAGGCCGATCCAAAGAGGAGCGGGCTGCCATAGCCAGGTGTAATAGTGTCTTTGGTCGAGACTGTGGGGGAAGAACATGTGGTATACCCAGGCGTAATGCAGCGCCACAAGAAGGGGTAGCAGAAAGGGGATGTATTCCTCTTTTAGGAGCCTTTTTCGGGGGTCGAGGGCGAGGATGCTGGTGCTGGGGGAGAATGTGAAGTGCAGCCAGCAGTACAGCGGGGCAAGGACACCGAGGCCGAGGATCTGGGCGGCGAAGTTCCATGCTGTGGCTAGGTAGGCTGCTGTGTAGGCGTTGCCGTCGCGGAACGACTCTAGCAGTAAAACGAGGTAGACTGGCCCGAGGTCGACGAGGAAGAAGAGCATTTGGTGCCAGGCTAGGGGGTCTATGGATAGGGTGCTGGGCGCGAAGATTACGCTTATGGGGCGGAAGAGGTCGTTGGCGGGTTTCCAGGGGAAGACACCCTCCAGAACTGGGACTGGGCCGGAGGGGTGGGGGATGAACCCCTTTTCCAAAATGGGCGGGACGAGCTCGACGAAGGTGTCGCGGTCGAATCTCTTGTTGCAAAAGTAGGAGAGGTAGAGGAGGGGCAGGGCGAGGACGCCGCGGCCTAGGCGGGAGGAGAGGAGGAGGGTGAGGGTGCCCATTTTGAATATTGGTTGTGAGGGTTGGTAGAGAAGGGGATAATGGGAGAGTGGTGGAGGGGTGGGCGGTGTTCATATGTTGGTCGTAGTGATGGTGGGGGACACAAATGGTTTTTGGAGGTTGGGGATGTTGGGCTGTTTGCCAACTGCATAATCGCCAAAAGCAACCCTTTTTATAGGCTGGGTTACCGGGACAGTGGACCGGAACACCTAGATAGGAATTAACTTATCAGGCTGTGAACATGGCGGCATTCGGAGGTTGCAATGAATGCCGACTTTCAACGGGGGAGATGTTGTCTCCGCCCAGCTGTTCGAGGAAGGAGATCGAATAAGGAAGGCCAGTTTCCTGGTACCCCGCTGGGCTTACTGATGCCTCATGCAGGATACATATCTAACCGCTGATGTGATAGCTTCGAGCAGCTAAAACGCCGTCTCATGCTAATGCTATGTTGCTGTCCCAGAAATCAAAAACCCAACTCCAACGCCACCTAGTCCAGGGAACCCTACAGATGAGGAACCCCAGCGCTCTGCATGATCAGATTCACGATGCTCAAAAACCCTTCTCCCAGAATGAAACCCTACGTAATCACAGTCAGCATCTTTCATCAAACCCACACCTCATCCAAGATGCAGAGAAACTCACAGAAGCCAACACAATCAACGGTGTATCCTGCCACCCCTTGTACGACCTCCACCACCAGCTCAACAATCCACCGATTGTCCTCGCCAGTGTAAACGACGGCACATTGTACATCCCCACAGCAACCGCAATCCCGCCTGGAACCAGCGCCTGCAGTCGTTTGGTTCGAGTCATCGAGGTGCGAGCCGCTGTCGTGACGGCAAACAACAAAGCTGCACCCACAGCCCACTCCTTCGCCATCGGAGGTAGTCCCTCACCCGTCACCAGCCTGGCAGTAAAGATCCAGACGTAGCCAGTAGGCACTTGGAACAAGTCTCCTGGGATAGTGTACACTGAAGTGTAGAGCTGGTAGATGAACGCGCTTGCCACAGCTCCGGCAGTAGCACCGATGACTTGTCCCCAGAACTGAGCCTTGGGGGCTGCTCCGAGTAAATGGCCGGTCTTGAGATCCTGCATCAGATCGCCGGCCTGAAGAGCGCCCTGTATTGCCTGTTAGTTAGATCCAAAGAATGTGTGAGCATCAACATACCGCCTCAGACACAGCTCCAGCAACCAAATTGATCAGGACACTCGACTTGTTCGACTGCGGAATGATGAACGCAAAGAACAGCTGAGCAAGCTTGCTAATCCCCGAAACCGGGTTCAAGTCCGTCTCACCAAGAGCCCTCACTCCCATGATACTCAGCACCAGCGCCATAAACACCGCCGTAATAGTAGCATAAAGCGGCACCAAGTCTCCAAAAACATAGTGAATGCACCCAACGCAAAAGATGATCGAGGCAGCAAGCCCAATGCTCACCACCTTGTTGCTGATCTGTTGGTCAGGAGGCGCATCATCATGTTCCTTCTCCTCCTCAGTCTCAGCAAGCAACGGGCCTCCATCTTCCGACTCGGAAGAAGAGTCGGTCCTAAGCAGAGAGGCATACCCCTGGCGTCCTCCCGGCAGCAAATTCCTGACGCTCTTTGGCAACACCCCCTTGATCCGAGGCCAGTACAACCTCACCGACCTGAAAGCCAAATACCCCAAGCTCACCACGGAGTCAGCAAGCATAATAGCCAACGAAACCCAAACGATCCACCCCTTACTCCCATGCTCCCAATCCGACACCGGCCCCGGAGCCCATCCCTTGTTCTTTGCCAGCGGTGACAAAACCCCCCATCCCACCACCGCACCAAGAAGCATATGCAACGTCGTCGCTGGACCCATGATAATTCCCTGTCCCACATACGCCAAACTCGGGTTGAGTGTCCAAAGCCACGTGCTCGCCGCGACACTTCCAAAGATGGGAATGTTCCTCAACACAGGCAAAAAATACGTCGCAAAAGTCGAGATGCCGGAAAGCAAAAAGCATACAATCAACAGTCTCACATTCCTCTTCCACCCCTCGGATTTCTTGTTATCCTCCTCCTCCCCATCCCTCACCTCCTCCCCCCCATAAGAACTCTCATCATCCCCAACCAAACTCGCAAACCCATGCGGGTTTTTCCTCTCCCCGCCCGCCTCCTCCACCCCCTTCGTCTGCCCATGCAGCACACTGATCAAAACCGCCGTGCTAAACCCACTCGGAAACTTCAGCTGCTCCCTAATCAGCACCTGCCTCCTCAACGGCACCGCAAAAACAACCCCAAAAAAACACAACCCCACCCCCCAAACACACCCCCTCCACAACCCCATCCTCACCGGCCCCATTTCTTCTTCCCTGAGCAAATACTCCATCGCAGGAACAACACCAACAAACCCGCACCCCAAAGGCATGATCGCCATGCTCCCCGCCACAGTCTGAACAAGCACGTTTTCCACCGGACTGAACGGCAGGTCCCCTAATCGATCCCTCAACAACCTAAAGATCCCGAAACCGAGGAGGGAGGCGGGCATGGTCATTGTTGATACCCAGCCTGTCTGCAGGCCAAAGTACATGTTGCTGAAGCAGATTATCAGACCGACGAGGAGGCCCACCGCCAGCGCGCGGGGGGTGAAATGGCTGCCGCGAATGATTTTTCGTTTTCGAGGCGAAGGGGAGGGGGAGGGGGAAGGGGTCAAAAGGGGGGAGGTATCGTTCGGGTCGTCATGAACCACCGCTGGGATCGCCAGGCCGGACGCTGCCGAAGAAGAAGAAAAAGAAGAAGAAGAGGAGGAGAAGGAGGTGAGTGATGAGGACCGTTTGCGCACCCCTCCCCCATCATCGACAGGAGTGGTTATTGAGCCTGCCATTTTGGCGTGATGAAAATCAAATGATGAGATGAAAGGGGATGAAGAACAGATGTGAGGCCTACATCAAGACTGCCTGGCGGATTAATGATAAACAATGATGAAGATGATGCTAAATAATGAAATGTTTTGAGCGAGAGAGAGAGAGAGAGAGAGTGTGTGTGTGTGAAACAATCAATTGATAACACAACACACACCCGCTGAGGCACGCCACCGCTTAGTGACCAATAAGCCGCTAACCCCATCAGGAGCGGGTAAAATGCACACCCGCTACCCAATTCAGCGTGACCACTAACACTAACACGCACACCAATCCCGGTGCTGCCTGACGTGTTCACCAGCTAGTTACGGAGTAGTGCAACTGATGAAAATAAAATCATGGGCAGGTTCGGGTTCTTCTCGAGATTGACTGACATGTTCAAGCAGGACTCGCAGTCACACTCTTCCCCCCCAAGAATAATTGACACCGGCCATATCCGTACCTCAAAGGCAAATGAATAGGCATTTTAAACATCTTTAAAGGTCTCTTGACTGTCTTTAGAGGTCTGTCAACTCTCTTTTAAGGTCTTATAGTTCTTTGCAAGGACTATGGACTTATGTTTAAAGGCCTATTAACTGTCTTTAAAGGCCCATAAATTGTCTTTAAAGGCATACCTTACCACATGATAACAGGTTTAACCAGACATTAACGGGGAACAATCACAATCAAGCACCACTTTTATCACCATATGCCTCACTCACTCAAAAGCACCAGACAACAAGAAAACATAAATCTGCTCCCTACCCATTGCTTTCTCAACGCCCTATCCCCCCAACGCCCCCCCTTATCTCTTTCCTAATACATAAATTATCACAATAAACCAAAGCCAAGCAAAAATATCACCATCAACTCAATACGCTGTTCACCCCCCTATCCACACGCTATCTTCCACCCCCTACACACTCTACTCGGTAGTATCCATCTTTTCCCCCTCCCCCTCCCCCTCCGTAACCCCCACCAATTTCTCCTCCTTCACCCTCCTCGCCTCGGCCCTCCTCTCCTCCTTCCAGGCCTCAATCCTCTCCTTCAGCTCTGTATGCGGCACCACATCCTCGATACTCATCGGCTGCCTCGTGTACGGATCCTTCGGATCGCTCAACAAATGCTGCACGATCGTGCTCCGGTCCACCACGTGCCTCGACGGCAACCAAACCGGATCATCCATCAGACTCCCCATGATCGGGTCCTCAAACTCGGCCGGCGCGTCGTCAAAGTCAATCTCGGCCTGCTCCAATATCTCCTTGGCCTTTCTGAACTTCTCACACAGCCTCTCCCACGCCTGGACCTCGTGCTCATCTTTCAGGTGCTTCCCCCTAAGGATCTGGGCAGTCTGCCTCATTGTCGAGTCGCGGTAGGAGCGGCCATCTCCCGCGACCGCCTCGACAAAGGCGGGGGAGGAGCCGAGGTTGAGGTAAATGTCCGCAATTTCGGGCAGCAGGGTTTTGGGCGAAAAGTGGTACTTCTCGGGATTGTCGACGCGCAAGTTCTTGGACTTGGGACCCGTCAACATGTCGAGGTTGTAGTCCAGCATGCCCGCCAGACGCTGGACAATCTCTGGCATCGTGAACGCTTCGCTCAGAGTCTTGGTAAACAGCCTCATCATGCCGACCGTCTCATTGGCAAGCTGCATGAACGACGTGGCCCTGTTCTCGGCCTCACGCAGCTCTTCCTCCAACCTCTCCCGGTCCTGCTGCGACAGGTTTGGATTCTTCAAATCGAGCTGAAACTGGTGGATTTTGGGGAACTTCCCCAAGCCCTCATCAAGAACATACGTAGCGTCGTTCATCAAAAGGTTGACAAAGCGTACGAAGAACGACCGGTTAGACCTACCACTGGTCAGTATGACGATCAGCCTCGACCGAAAGAGAGGAAAACTCACTTGCTAGACTGCACCAGCTGCTGCCTGTAATGGTCGTTGACCCACACACACTTGATGATCTGAAAGATCTCGTACCGAATGTTGAACTTGTCGTAGAACCCATTCTCGGTAAGCTCGCACTCAATGTAAAACTTCATAACCGCATGGAGCAGGTACTGGTTCGCAAACTTGGTGCTCGTCATCAGCTCGCCCAAGAACCCCTTGCTGAGATGATACCTAGGCCATGTCCCCTGGTACAAGAGCGTGATCAACGACGACTTCAAGTACGGGTTCTTGACGTACTCGGACGACTCCAAAAAGGTGATGCAGAGCGCAATCAGCTCGTCCCCGACCGCATTGACAATAACCTGCGGCACCTCTCGGAAGACAAACTTGAAGTTGTCCACAACATCCTGCAACGCGTACTCGGGAAGGCACTGGAATGCCTCGGGCTGTTGGGCTGGCAGCGGGAGCGTGAGCTGCTTCTCCGGCGTGTACTCCGTCCCGCTGGCAACGCGCAAAAGCCAGACCGTGACATAGCGCATAAACAGCAGCGAACGGGCCTGCATCTTTTGCTCCAGCGATACGCCAGAGATGCACATTCTAAGAGACATGGAGGCTTCCAATATGGCCGTATACCGTTTCAGAGCATCATCCAACCGCCGAAGCTCAGAAGGCCGGTTGATCACCTTGGGCCGCTCGGCCTCTATCAGGGCAATGTTCTTTTCGAAGTGCTTAATCTCCCTGTCCAGCGTCTTGAGCTTGGCATTGGTTGCCTCGCTTCCGTAGTGGTGAGCCGCGAGTGTCAAAAAGAACACCTCGGTGATGAAGTTGTTGTCGCCCTCCAGCTTGGTCGAGTAAAACTTGTCCGACTGGGCCTGGTCGGCATTGAGCTTGGTCTCGTCCTTGATGTCAATCCTTGGATTTCTCCGAAAGTAGTTGATATCGATGCGGCTGACTTTGGAGAATGTGCTGTCCATGAATGGCTCGCAGAGGTAGTCCAGAATGACGGTGACATTGATCATGAAGCCGTCCGAGGACACTTCCCTGGGATCATGCTGCATGGCTCGTCGTTTGTGGTTGACGTTCATGATGTAGGCGAACCAATCCAGGACCTTGTTCCGTGTCTGGTTGCTGGCGCGAATAAAGGCATTAATGATATCTCTGAGGTCGGCTTGGTGTGTGTTGAGGGTCATTTGCAGGGCGCTCTGAGACGTCGCGATATGTCTGGGGTCCATGGTGCGAGGCCCAGCAAAGTACACAGCAGCAACCTCTGGCTGCAGGGGCGATATCCTGAAGAAGGGGCCCAGAAGGGTGTTCTTCTCGATGCCCGGTGCCGATTGCGCCATCTGGAAGCACGGGTGAGCTGCCAGTTCATTCAGAAGTGGCGCATATCTGGCATATGTTTTCAGGGCCTAATAATGTCAGCACAATCTTTTCAACCGTGCTCGTCTCGATTCACTTACATTAACATAAGGCTTGTAATCATCATTCATGGTCATCGTAGAGAGCTTGCTGCTGATATCAACAATGGCCTTAGTGAACAGCGGCGCAATGGTATCATCCTCATCGAATCGAGACACGGCCTCCCCGATGAAGTCCATACACAGCCCACTCTCGTTCTCAACCTCCTTCAAGAGATACGGAACGAGTGTGTCGTGCACGGGGCTCGATTCCCGACTTCACGCCCACAAAAGTCAGCATACCAAACAAAAAGCTGACCCGTTTTTGACAGAAAATACCTGAACAGTTCCGGCATCGTCAACGAAAAGATGCAGTTGCTAAAGCACAATCGTCTCGCCTCCTTCAACAAGGCCTCCTTCTGGGGGGTTGGGTTCCTCAGCGCCTTAAGCGTCCGGACTACCCGCTTCCAGCAAGCCAGCAGGTACTCAAAGAGTGGCTTGTCCTTTGGGTACTCTGTGGCCGCCTCCATGATGGCCTCCTCCAGCCGGTCCTGGGACAGCTTCAGAGGGGCCACCTCGTCTGTGAGGTCCTGGCTCAGGTTGGGCAAGAATGTCAACTTGTGGCCGTGGGCATCTTTTGTGCGTGCAGCATCCACCGTCATGCGGAAGATGGACCCCAGGATTCGGTCGGCATAGTCTTCGAAGGATTCCTGAGCTGGTGTCTGTTTCCGTGGTGGAGCTGGGGCTCCTGATGGTGAACCCTCCAGCTCCGAGGCCCGTCTTTTAGATCCCAGCTCTTCCCCGAGTATGCTGTTGACGGCCTTGTCTTTTGGGGCGGTTGCGGAGGACGGCGAAGGGCTGATGTTGATTTGTGATCGGTTCGCGATGGGAACGATGGGGGCTGCCTTCTCAGGCACGGGTGTCCCACTGGTTGGTGAGCCACCGGTTGGTGATGTGGTCGATGGGCTGTTTGCTCCCGAGCCAGCCGCGCTGCCGGGCCCACCGCCGAGCTTCTCGAGTCTTCGGCGACGGATTGCCTCCATGGTTTCTCGGTCGGGCGCATCAGGCAGTGTCGACGCCGGGGCTGGTGGCGGGGCCGGGGCCGGGGCCGGGGCCGCTGGCGGCTGCTGTTCTTCAGTAGGATCCATCGTGATGATTCGGCAGTCTTATTCGGCCGACGGGCGGTGCTGGAAAAGTCTAGGAATTGACAGCAGAAGCAGACAGATAAAAAGAAGAAAAAGACTCTTTAAGGAATGCAGAGAGAAGATTTAACGGCAGCCACCAACACACTAGAACTTTTTGCCTTGAAAGCCAAAAACCTTGGAAGTCGCCTGAAGCTCCAGAGTAAATATGGCGGGGTCGGAACTCAGCTCACGTTGGGGGGGTTGCGCTAACAGCTGGAGCCTAAAGACAGCCTGGACAAAGTATTCTTGGGACGAAAATGCCCTGTCATTGACTTGTGCCCGGCGCTGCTTTGGGCGCTGTGTGCGCTGGAAGCTCGCAGAAGACGCCTTTTCCGCCTTTTAAGAGAGAGCTGATGGTAGGCATTACTAATCTAACCTTATCCTTATCTTATCGTTATCGTTGCCTAGAGGGCATCACCACTTCGACATAGGTAGACTATACCATGTTTCTTTCTTCTTTCTATTCTTCAAGCTTCATCCTCCTTCATTATTAGTTGCTCGTCTATTTTTGTTGTTTCTACATGAAGAGACCTGCCCACAGAACATCTCTGAATAACCTCATTACGCATACCTAATTCATGATGCAACCCATTACGTCCATAGCGCCATATCAACGATAGCCATACAACTCTCACACAGCTCATGACTGGGCAACATTGCCTCCCGTCCATACCCAGCGCCAGAAAATATGCGGTACGCTTTGATCAACATTCAACATTGTATCTTCACAGCCGGGGAGGTGGCTCTCCTCTCCCATCACTGTTCCGGCGGCTAGCTGTAGTCCGGTATGGCAGTCCGCCCTCTGTTAACCTGACAGGGAAGTTGTTGTTGATATCGTTGGCGGATGACATTTGCGACATTGACGCCATTCCAGAATTGCCCATGCCGCTTCCTGACGAGCTCACTGCTCCGGCTCGCTGCTGGAGATGGTTGTGTCTCTGCATGTTCATCAACCAGGTAGTGTGCATGTTCAGGACGCCCACTTTGCTGCCTAGTTCGACGAGCTGCTGGTTGAGTGGCATGATCTGCTGTAGCATACTCATGGACTGGTGCGCATCCAGCTCAACCACCTGCTTGGAAAGGTCCTCCATCCGGCTTTCCAGTCGCTCGAAGCGGGCAAGCATGTAGTCTTCGGGTGAGCCCCATGATCTATTCTCGCCTGCTCCCACATTGGAAAGGTCTGGTCTCCATTCCATGTCGTAAAAGAAAGTGGAGGGATCGGGAGCGGAGAGGTCGATTGCGTCTGCTCCGTGGGACGTATTTGGTGCCTGGCGGGAGAGTTCTCGCCGACGAGCGCGTCGTTCCTGATGCTCTCGCCGCTCCGTCTCCAAAGCCACCAAGCGATCGGTGAGGTTGTCGATTATCCGGCGGTCCTCGGCCCGTTGCTTGAGGAGTTCCCCAATAATCTCGTAGGGGCAGCCAGTCTCATGTTCTTGAACCAGGTACCGTTTATCGTCGACCTTGCAGCCGGCAATGTGCCACTTGCACCGTACCTGCGTTTCCAGACAGTCTTCGGCGCAGTGCTTCTCCATGCGATGGAGAACGACGGTTGCTTCGCACGCCGAGCACTTTGTTGTTGCTCCGCTGCAGAGGAAGTCATAGTGTGTGTTCAGATCCACCAGCGCCACCCTCTCGTCACAGTATCGGCATGACACCTCGCGATGCATGCAGGTGCTGGCAGGTCCCTGGACGTGGCGGCGGGCAATTCTCTTCCTGCATCTGGCGTCGGGGCAGCGCACCATGGTGTGCTCGCAGCGGCGCTCATAATGGCTGTCGAGATGCTCCCGAGGGCAGATGTGATCGCAGCCCTTGTTGGGGCATTTGACTTTGAGGCGATCGAGTTGATCTTTGATGATCAGCGGTGGCCGATGATAGTCATGCGTCTTTGTGAGCGGCTGACGGTCGATGGGACATGTTGGCTGGATGTCAAGGGCTCGGTTGATGCACCAGGCGCAGAATGTGTGACCGCATGATGTGGTTATGGGTTCATGAAATGGTGTTTTGCACACTGGGCACAGAAGCGTCTCATCTACTGTGTCGAGATACTCGAGGATCTGGTAGTCTATCTCGAGGAGCGCAGGGTCCTCTGGTGACGAAGGGACGACTGTGTGTATGGTGGTGGTGGTGGTGGTAGCAGCAGCCTCAGGCGAGGGGGCCTGCTCAGGCGCTGAATCTACTGGAGGTGGGGTTGCCGTCGCCAGAATGGACGCGATTCTCGAGGGCTCCGACTGAGGGGGAAGCAAGCCTTCCTCTGGGGTATTTGGTGGTGGCATTGAATTGAATCTGATCGCATCGACAACGAAATGTTGATGCAGGTGGCGGCGACGGGGACTGACCTGAAGAGGAGGGTTGCGGCGCAATGGAGGCGGCTGGGAGGTGGAAGTACCAGCTCTGCCGAGGCCACCACCTATCACCGCATCGATAGCTGATCCATGTACCCCACTTTCAAATTATAAGGCTGACTTGGGTGTCCGCCTTTTGTCTTTCGTTTTCTCAAACACTTCAGCAAACTGAGGGTTCGACAACCGTGAAGTGGTACTTGTGCTACCTCAATATTAGCCCTCTGGATATGCCATCTGCACAGCCAAGAGCTGTATGACTTTGTCATCGCGCGCAGGACTCGATCAAAAGAGCGGGGATTTGTCCCTCCAGAACCTTGACGACTGGCCCTATCGATAAGAAAAGTGGGACCTATGAAGCTACTGGCACCCTAAGGTAGAGTGGGTAGCCAGGCCATGGCAGCAGATGGCGACATGTGATAAAAACATATTGTTGAACTACCGCTCATGCAGTTTATATAACTCTTCTGGAAGTTTGTCTCATCCATTCAGCTCCTAAACACTGAGGTCATAATCAACAACACCTGTAGCTCGCCCTCCATCTAGGGTTAGGGTCTCTGTTCCTTCCCCTCTTCTTCGTTCTCCATACAACTTCTCACTATTTTCTGGCGTGAGACAAAGGAGCATAATGCAGCATGCATACTACGAGCCTCGGAAGGCACTATATGCTTTCATAACAGACCTCCGTCTAGGCACTGCAGTGAGATTGCAAGTCGTGCTCCATGTTGAGTGATCCTGCTGTGCTCACTAATCCCTCTCTTTTCAGTATCACGACTACCCCGCTTCCCAGCCTCACAGCTCAAGCATAGATGAATGTTCCGTACAGCTGTGCCACAGGGACACTGAGCAACGTTCCGACTGTCATCGGTGATGTGGGCCATGTCGTCTAACCTAACCATTGCTGCCAAGAATCCCACCTTCTCAAGCGGCTCAACCCAGCTTCCACTCCAATCACTCTTCATCTCACTGCGTTATTAGCTCGGCTCTATGCAGTACGGGAAGAAAGCCAACCGACATTTATCAAGAAGACGGTGTGCTCTGTCAGCACTCCATTGGATATCTCTCCTTAGTCAGCCCCCTACGAGACCAGTCAGACCAGCAAGCGTGTGGCCCAGCAGCCTCAAACGAGGGCGGTAGCACAACCTTATTCGTGCTTTGAAGAAGCTCGCCGTTGTATCCGTCCTCAGCCTGTAACAAATAGTCCCTTTGCTGCAGATAGGACCCTTGTTTCTTCTTCAGTCCTGTCTGTTTACCCCGCCGACCCCACGCAACCGTTCTAGGCCTACCTCTTGTGGATATGATATGAGGGATGGCTAGCTGAAGAGACACAAACGGTGCCGGTGCGTTCGTCTTCATGCAACCTAGAAGCTCACCTCAGCTATAGGGCTACACCATGTCACTCGACGGCGTCGTCCTTAGGTATAAATGAGCCTGTTCCCACCTCTCTCTCCCTCTCTCGTGTGTGTCTGCTCTGGTCTTCCTCAACCTTCTCTAGGCTGTCTCGAGTCTTCTCAACGACATCTGGTGCCTTTCTTAGTTAGGCTTCACAAACTGGAGATATCTTGTACTTGCTCTGTCCAAGACAACCGCCAACCCCAAGTTGCCCAAGACTGCTCGTCACCCCACCCCCATCCCATCCCTCCAAGCGCTCCACAACGAAGAAGAACTACACCAAGGCTCCCCTAGGAGCTCACTCCACGAGTTCTGGGCACCGATACTTCACCAAGAAGCCCGGCAAAGTCACCCGCATCTTCCCTCGTTCTCTCTATTCTTCCATCCTCCCTCTCTCACTCGAGGATGGCCAACCAGCCCGCTCAGCCCGCAACGCAGCCGAGTCTTACGAGGCTGCTGCAAAAGAGTGCCGGGAGAAAGTCCAGCGCATCATCAAAGAATGCCACCGTACCAATGAAAAGTTCACCGACCCCGACTTTGATATCGAGTGGGATCTCGAAGACAACTGCCTCAACGGCCTCGTCCGCTTCGACTGGGACGACTGGGACACCGATGATACCGGCAACGCCGTCAGCGCCGACCGCTTTCAAGCGAAGCCTTGACACCCTCGCCGAATCCAACGCGCTCGGACCAGGCGGAACTGTCGCCTTGGACCCCGGAGTAGTCAGAGGCTACATCGCCGACGACCCCTGGGCCGCTCTCTTCGGCGCCTGGGGAACCAAAGGCCAACCCGTGACCAAGGGAGCTACCCCCCAAGCTCAACAAGCTGCTGCCGCACAGAAAGGCGTCCTCCCCCACGGCAAAAACTCGCCCCGTCACCACACCGACCCCAGAGCCAACCCCAAATCCACCAGGAGCAAGAACGGCGTCCAGTGCGGCGAGTGGTACAACCCCGGCTCCAAGCACCGCCTCGACTGGATTTTTTCGTCTCCCCAATGGACCATAGACGGGTACTCGTCCTCGGACATCAAGCAAGGCTCCAACGGCGACTGCTGGTGGCTCGCCGCCGTGGCCACCATCACCCACCGAAAGGACCTAATGGACAGAGTCTGCGTCGTCCGCGACGAGGAAGTCGGCGTGTACGGCTTTGTGTTCTACAGAGACGGGGAGTGGATCTCTGCCGTGGTAGACGACAACCTCTACCTCCAGTACCCCGACTTTGACTACTACGGCGACCGGTACGACTCGACTGGCAAGTTGGCAAGGGAGTACAGAAAGAGATACCAAACCGGGAGCGAAGCCCTCTATTTTGCGCAGTGCGAAGACCAAAACGAGACTTGGCTCCCGATCTTGGAGAAGGCGTACGCAAAGGTTCACGGGGATTACGAGGCTATTTCTGGGGGGTGGAGCGGGGAGGCTGTGGAGGATATGACTGGCGGTGTTACTACCACTGTTGCTGCCAACCGGGTGCTCAGGAAGGATAAGCTTTGGAAGGAGCTGGTGAATGCTGATGGGGAGTTCGTCTTCGCCTTGTCGGCTATCGGGACCGGGTGGGATAGCTACAAGGGTGGCCTTGCGTTGGGGCATGCTTATTCTATTCTTAAGGCTACGGAGGAGGTGGGTGAGGATGGGAAGAAAGTGAGGTTGGTCAAGATCAGGAACCCGTGGGGTCAGAGGAGCAGTGATGGTGTGGGGGAGTGGAACGGGCCTTGGTCGGATGGGAGCAAGGAGTGGACTCCTTACTGGTTCAAGAAGCTGAATCATACTTTTGGGGATGATGGTGTTTTTTGGATGAGTTATGCTGATATGCTGGAGACGTTTTTGTTTATCCACCGGACTAGACTTTTTGATGAGAAGTGGACGGTGGTGCAACAATGGACGAGTGTGAGTGTGGGCTGGGTGGCGGGGTATCTCAACCAGAAATTCGTGATCGAGGTCAAAAAAGCAGGGACGGTGGTTGTGGTGTTGAGCCAGCTTGACGAAAGATACTTTCAGGGCTTTGAGGGACAATACAACTTCTCCCTTCACTTCCTGTTGAAGAAAGAAGGCGGCAAGGACGAGGAGCACATCTGCCGGGTGAGACCTGTTCACCAGTGGGAGAGCCGATCGGTAAGCTGTGAGGTTGACCTCGAGCCGGGGAGGTATGAGGTCTTGCCCAAGGTGACGGCCGAAAGATGCGACTGGAGGAATCAAGTCGAAGACGTTGTCAAAAAATGGTATCTATCTCTCTCCATTTCCATTTCCCTTTCGAATAGCTAACACCCGCTTTGTAGGGCCGATAAAAACCCCTCCAAACTCCGCCAGGTAGGCATGCAATACGACCTCGCCCACGCCAAAGGTGGCATCCCCAACGAGGACGACCTCATCCTCAAGAAAAAGGAGGAGGCCAAGAGGAAGGCTGAGGCGAAGAAGCTCAAGGCCAAAGAAAAGGCCAAGCGGAAGAAGGAGAGGGAGAAGGCTAAGAAGCGGAAGGAGAAGGAGAAGAAAAAGAAGGCTGCTGCTGCCGAGGTCACGGTGAAAGTTCCCGAGGGTGGTGAGACGACGGTTAATGTCAAGGCTGGCGAGAAGAAGGAGGACACTGACAAGAAAGAGGAATCGGAGAAATCGGAGGATGCGGTTGAGAAGAAGGAGGATGCTGCTGCTGCTGCCACTACCAAGGCTGAGGAGAAGAAGACTGAAGCTCCCAAGACCATCTCCACCGCCTCTTCGTCCGCCCCTGCTCCCCCCAAGGAAGGACAGAAGGAGGAGAAGAAAGACGACGGTAAGAAGGAGGAGACACTGGCTATCAGGCCTGCCCCCACCACCACCACCACCACCACCACCCCAGCCGCGGAGGAGAAAGAAGCCAAGCCTGACGAGAACAAAGCAGAAGAGAAGAAAAAGGAAGAGGAGGAGGATGATTCCGAGTCTGAGTACGAGTCTGAAACGGATGAGGAGGAGGAGAAAGAAAAGGAGGAGGAGGAACAGCGGCAGAAGGAGGAAGAAGAAGCCCGCAAATTGGCCGAGGACGAGGACTCGCCTTCCATCCCGTGGAACGCGGTTGCTGTTCTTGGGTTGAGGGTGTATGCCCAGGATGCCGGGGTGAGTGTGCACCTTGCCAAGCCGAAGAGTGATGAGGAGGGGGCGAGTTTGGTGATTGATAGCCAGGCTGTGGGTGCTACTATGTAGATATGAGTTGAAAGATGGTAGAAAGTCTGATGGTTTCTTGCATCTTGACAACCGCTCTCCCGCTATGTGGGTTATCCTTTTTTGTTCTTTTTTGTTAGAGCTATGGCCATGGGTAATTGCTTGCTGAAGCCAAGGATTTGTCTCAAGAATACACGTCCACACCGGAGACTGCGGCAGGTGAGATCCTGACAAAGGTATTGCGAGCTTCAACCTCAACTGTGCGCTCAAAGACTCCCAGTCCGCTGCATAGGCGCCTCACAGAAGAAATGAAGCAGGCCAGAGTCAGCCACATGTTGCAGCCAAGAAACCAAATCCGAAATGGCCCATTTTAGGCCGGTTCAGTCAGCAAACGACGAAGCTAAGAGGTTTCACAGCGTCACGCTGGCCGCGCAGCTGGCCAGAGCTACAGACGAGGCTGTGAAAGTTCCAGATGATCATGACCAGGTGTTGTGCAGTCGGAGGCCCAGGCTTCTTGCAAGCCCACATCCTTTTTTCTCCTCTCGGGTTGGGGTCCGAAAAGTATTACTCACATGTAAACTCAGCCTTCTAGGTTGTCATATTGAAACCGAAGAAGGATAGTTTTCCAACACTTGTTATTTACTAAACGAGCTCCTTGAGTTGTTCAGGTAAATAATACACTGGGTTGCTGAAAAGTGAGGTGTGGTGAATTGGTGAAGCATCCGAGCAGCCACCCCATTTCTACTTGCTGGACCCCCCAACTATATAAAAAGGATGTAGTAATTACGTCTCTCGCGCTTTATGAAAAAGAAAAGTTCATAAGGGTGTTCTTTGGGCTTTCTTTTATATATTATGGATGATATCTTTTTAAAAAGTAAGATCTAAAGCTATGATATTTATATCTTGATGAACCGGGAAAAGCTAAGAGAAAGCTTTGTTAAAAGACTAGTTTATAAAGGTAAGTTTATATTTTAACGACATAAAAAAAAAAGAAAGATCAGTTAGTATGTAAATATAAAATTATCTTCAAACTTTCATTTATATTAACGGCTTATAGGTCAAAGCGTTGTGAATAAGGGGTCCGGCAAGTCAAAATGGGGGGTCTGAAAAGCATTACTCTCACATATAAGAAGAGCGTCTGTGGTTTGCTTGATCCAGGACAGATCCAGTTACGTAAGAGAGGTATCTACTTATGGCTGGAACATTGCAGGGGGTGATGATGACTTTAGATGTGTATCATCCTCAGTGTCTTGGTAGCCAATAATGTAGATGGTTGCTGCCAGTGTAGGCGCGTGGCTTGATATCACGGAGTTCAGGACCGCATCAATTTCTACACCATAAAGTTGCACTCTTTTGGGAAGAAGGTGGTCAAACAGCTCAGGACAAAAAGACCGGCGAGTTCCAAGCAGGGGGAACCACCCCATTGAGAATTGGATCGATGGCCTACTGCTAATAACTGACGAGGTGGAACTCGTCACTGCATGCTACCAGTGCTGGTTCGAAGAGCCGCTCAAGAACTGCCTCGCCAAACGCCACCTGCCCAAGTCGGACCCGGACTATTCAGACGATGTGAAGGAATTCGCACACTTTGTCGCCCGCTTGGGAGCCCACAAGTACGCCGCTTTCAAGGTGGCGGAAGGAATCGACAAGCTGCCGTATTTTGCCAATCAGCGCTACCGTGTCAAGTTCGACCGGCCGCCCAAGGGTGGTCACCAGGAAGCTCTGAAGCCCACGCCCATCAACCTCACCCGGGCTTTTGACTGGGCAAATGGCGACTACAACAACGAGCCTGACCCGTTCACCATAGTCAAAAAGCTCGCGAATCTCTTCCCCGGCATCCCCAGCAGCGATCCAGCGGTGGGTTACTATCTCGAGCAGGAGCGAAGGAGCACAGATCACAAGGGCTTCAGTTTCCAAGGCGAGATCAGCCGGTGGCTTCAGCAGAAGAAAGGCGTCCTTCTGACGCGCTACCACGCCGAAATCCAGATTGCCAACTTCTTCAACGCCCGGGAAGATCTTCCAGGATAAAGATAGGTACATTGGCTGTAGCAAGGGGGCCTGCTGGTTCTGCGCGCAGTACCTGGCGAATCTGCCATCCCCGCGCGGCGACGAACGATTTGTCCCGCCTGCTCAACACAACGAGATCCTTCCAGGTGTTACTTTTCCGCCAACCAAAGGAAGCAGTGATTCCAGGTGGGCTGTTCAGGTCAAGGCTTCGATGAACGAGGTTGTGCTCCGCACGACACGCGACGCTCTTCTCGACAATATTCCTCATGGTGCGAGGAGCCATCAGTCGACTAACACATGGATGGATAGAGCGCTCTCCCAGTCCTCGTGGATGAGAGAGGAGGACATCAGGAGTGCGGCGTGATGGTGAGATTGCGCAACGAGAATCAGGTTTCTTTTGTTTATTGCGTTGCTTCTCGGCCCAGATTGACTTTCAGGTTCTCTTGTGGGCTCACCATACCCACCTCAGCTACCTGGCTTGGCCAGCCTCTTATTATTCATAATACAGACGTCGGTTTTGTGAAACGGTTGCTCTCGTTCTATGATGCCCTTGTAACACACCCTGTGGCCAGCACTGGTGTCCTCAGGTTTAGCAAAAGAGCCAGGCGTTTCACGGGACAAGTCAGTTGCTTTTCCAGGATTCGGGAAACAGTCGTCATGACCTGGATAACTGCATCCTTTGCTTTGTTGGAAACTCTACGGTGAGCTGTGAGCCTCAGATATCTCTAAATGTCCCGATAGCACTTAAGAGCTGTAATATCCTGTGTTTAACAGAAAAAGGGGCAATGTGTCCACCATGGATGTTTTGTTTGACCAGGGCAAGCAACATCCATCCAGGGGTTAGGGTTATGTGCGTTGAACCCTTGATGAACCCTTGATGAACCCTTGAAACCTTCACCTGCAGGCTCTCTCCCCGCACTTTTTTTGTGACCTGCAGCTCAGCGATGGGACCCCTCCATTTTGCAGCCAGGAACAGAAAAAAAAAATTAATTTTGATCCACAGCCGTTGGAAATAAAACTCCGACGCTCACTTATACAAAACAGACACCGAAACGGCCACTTTTGGTGCCACAGAAAAGAAACAAAATGGCCGAAGCATACCCCCCCTCCATCAGCGACGGCTCCTCGTCAGACAACTCCGAGGCTGGCAACTGGCTGCAGGGTGATCAGGACGATGGTGATGACTTCAGCGAGCAAGAGACCGTGCAGGTCATCTCGCTGATGGACGACAAGGTATTTGACGATGCTCTTGCCATGGTCACCTACTGCAAGGAGAAATATGGGTTGGATTTCTTGGGGGTGAGAGATCGGTTGGGGCTTGACTTTTACGGGTCGATCAAGTTGATCAACTTCAGTACGTTGCTTACTTTTACTCTCATGTGATAGCTATGGAAACTAAACATGAGATCACAGTCCGCCAAAAGGTCCACGATGGCAAGCCAGTCAAGCCGGATGATATCAAGGCGTCTGATCTCGAGGATGACTCACTCTTGAAGCCGGTACTGGAGGATGATGCCCTCATCGTGTGCTTGGATGACCTCCCTGCCGCTGGTGAGGCTGCTCCTCAGGCCCGGGAGATCAAGCAAAAGGAGGCCCCGGCCGTTGATGAGCTTCTTCGGAAGAATGCGCAGCTCCAGGAAGAGCTCGAGAAGCTTTCTCAGCAATTCTCCAACTACAGGCTTGCTGTCCAGCAAACCTTGGACCAGAGATGGGGTGAGGATGAGAAGCCCGAGTCCTCCAAGGCTAGAGCTGAAGCCCCTGCTCCTGCTCCTGCTCCTGCTACCAACGGCACAGAAAAGAAAGACGACTCCCCACCCGAAGCCACCTACTACTTTGAGTCGTACGCCCACAACGACATCCACGAGACCATGTTGAAGGACACGATCCGCACCAACGCCTACCGTGACTTTATCTACAACAACAAGGCCATCTTTGCCGGCAAGACTGTTCTCGACATCGGATGCGGTACTGGTATCCTCTCCATGTTCGCCGCCAAGGCTGGTGCGGCCAAGGTTCTTGCTGTTGACAACAGCGCCATCATCGACAAGGCCCGCGAGAACATCTTCAACAACGGGCTCGACAATGTCATCACTTGCATCCGTGGCAAGATTGAAGAGGTTACTCTTCCGGTGCCCACGGTCGACATCATCGTCTCGGAGTGGATGGGTTACTGCCTTCTCTACGAGGCCATGCTTCCCTCTGTTCTCTACGCCAGGGACAAGTACCTCAAGCCCGACACCGGTCTTCTCGTGCCATCGCACACGTCGATGTGGATTGCTCCTGTGGCCGACGAGGAGTACGTCACCGACAACATGGACTTTTGGCGGGATGTCTATGGCTTTGACATGAAGGCCATGCAGGAGGGCACCTACGCCAACTGCCGCATTGAGCACCTCCCCGACGCCGCCGTGGCCGGCACCGCGCAGTGTTTCAGGATGCTCGACCTCCACACTTGCACCAAGGAGGACCTTGTGTTCAACGAGAAGTGGACGTCGACTTATACGTCCAAGGACAAGCTTGATGGTTTCTTGGTGTGGTTTGATACCTTTTTCTGCGAGTCGAGACAGGAGCAGGTCGAGAAGCAGTTGACGTGGAAGCAGTGGATGGATGTCAAGGGGAAGGAGAGCGTGGCGTTTACCACCGGGCCGTTTGACAAGGAGACGCACTGGAGGCAGGGGTTGATGTTGATTGACCATGCCAAGCAGCCGAAGGGAAGCGAGGAGAAGGTCAAGGAGGGGGCGAGGTTGGAGGGCGAGATTGAGTATGCTATTCCCGAGGGTCATCACAGAGGGTTGAACATCAAGGTGACTTGGGGGTTGGAGGGGGTGGAGGGGGAGAAGAGGCTGAGCCAGATGTGGATGTGCCATTAGAGAGGTTCGGCGGGGCGGCGGACAAATGTATGGGATAGACAAAATAAACAAGGGAATGAATATGCTCTGTATGATGGGTTTGCTGACACAAATGCCAAGCCACAGAGTCGCAAAGTGTGGGGGGGAGCTTCTGGAACCCCACGTCATAGCGATCTCGCAGCTCAGGGCAGATTCCCACTGCTGCAAGCCGCATGATGCAGCAGCAGGTGTGTCGCATGTGTTCTGAAGGCGCGCTCCTTTCACTGATTGCGTGACACCTTCTAAATCAACTCATCTTCTTCATCTCATGTTTTGTTTTCTGTGATTTGTGTGCTTTACACCTGGGTTGCCTGTAAAAGGTACGTATTTTTGGCAAACAAGGACAGGGGTCTAATTGCCAGCCGGCACGGCACGACGCGGCAACCATTCACTCAATCACTTACCTCGACACAGACAGCACAAATCAGCTCCCAGGCAGACAAACATAACGAGTTACGACGACAGAAACCAACCGTCGAGTCCCTTTTGCCCATTGAATTACAAGCCGAGAACACGACATGCCTGCGACAGACTCACCATATCAATAGCAGCAGACGAATCCTCACCACACCACCACCACCACCACCACCACAACCACCAAAAATGAGAACCATCCTCCCAGGCCTCCCCTCCCCCCACCTTCAAGCCCTAGCAACAGGCTACTGCCAAAACGCATCCGAGTCCGGCCCCCGTCGAATAACCGTACCTCTTCCCCCTTCCACCCCCCCCCCCCCCAAATCTTCCTTTCCTCACAACTAACCCCCCTACCCGGTGTAGGTCTACATCTCCGGTCCCGCAATCTCAATCCTCTCCCCAAGCCCCACCTCCCCATCCCATCTCCTCCAAACAATCTACGACGACGACCCAACCCCCCTCCAATCCGTTGCCCTCGACGAACCCACGGCCAAAATCGCCGTTATCACCACCTCTGGCACAGGGAGGATATACAAACCAACAATCAACACCCTCCTCCCGATCAACTCCCCCGAGCGTGAGCCCCGCTGGGTATTACAAGGAACCTTTTCCTCCTCCCCCTCCCCTTCCCATCCAGCAACCCTCTCCTGGGGCAGCGACGGCGAACTTTTGGTCTCCTCCTCATCATCCCTCCAACTATGGCAGACGTCCCGACCAGAGGGGGATATTCATTTATCATGGTCGCAACCGCTCCCTAATCCAGCGAAAATGGCGCTGTTGTCGTATGATTCGGCGTACATAGCCTCTGTGGGGCGATATGATAAACTGGTGAAAGTGTGGAGGAGGTTGAGCTATGGGTCTGGGGGTGCGGGGACGGAGGAGGGCGTTGATGGGGCGAGGTTTGATTTTGTGTACTTACGGCATGGGGATGTGGTTACCAGGCTTGAGTGGAGGAGGAGGCCGAGGCATGAGGGGCAGACGGTGGAGAATGTGCTTTGGACGGTGGACTGCAAAGGAAGAGTAAAGCTTTGGGTTGGCGGGGATGGGCATGGGATGAGGGAGCTGAGGCTTTGGGGGGGGCTGGAGTTAGGGATGAAAATGGGGTGGGTGGTTCAGGGGGGGGATTTGATGGGGGCTGTTGAGGGGGTTGTGGAACCCCGGACGCGGGACGCGGTGGAGAAGGTGGTGGAGGTCGGGAGGAGGTGTCATGAGGTTGTGGTCGGGTTGGATGGGAAAGGCGGGGTGAAGGTTTGGGGGTTGGAGGATGTGGGTTGGGAACCGGGGGCACAGAAGAGAGGGGGGGTCTGGGAGATTGTGGAGGTGAAGGGGGTGGAGGGGTTGGACTGGGGAGGGGGAGCAGGTGAACATGTCGAGGTGCAGAGTTATTGTGATGGCAAGGGGCTGTTGCAGGTGCTGGTGCACTTTTTTGATGGGAGGATTGAGGTTTATGAGACCGATCTCGCGGCCTTGGTTGACCCGAACCCGAAGAGGAAGAGGCTAGAAAGGGTGGCTGTTTGGACTGGGCATTCGGCACCGGTCAAGAAGGTGGTGAGGAATTTCAGTGGGAGGGCGGTCGTTACGAGGACGGAGTCGGGGCAGAGCGTTGTGTGGAAACATGAGTTGGATCATGGGAAGGGGGTGACGATGTTGAGGAGACAGGTCGTCATTCAGCAAGCGGGGCATGTTCACCGGATGTGCGTGTTGAGAAAGGGGAGGTTTGTGGTTTTCTTGCGGCACGAAAAGGTTGAGCTTTGGGACTGTAGGGGGGCTCAGGCGAGATTGCTGGCCGAGCAGAGGTATGATGTGCCGGGGAAACCACTGTGCCTGATTGTGCTGCCGAGGCACAAGGTGGAGGATTACACCCACGGCGCATGTTGCGACGATCACGTCGGAAAAGGAGGGTGTTGGTTGGGAGGTCAAATTTCCGTTCTATAGACCGAACGATCCGACGGTCAAGGTTGCGAATGGGCGGGGGGAGGGGGATCAGGAGGGGTGCATCAGGGAGTTTGTCAAGTTTACGCTTGAGGATGCGGGGGATTTGGGGTATGTGTTACCTGTTGATCCGGCCGGGGCGGATTTCCATGTTTCGGGGTTTTTGGATGTGTTTGCACGGGATGTGGCGATTTCGTACACGCACTCGGGGAGGGTCGAGTTTTGGACTGCGAGGGTTGGGCATGAGGGGAAGGGGGTGGAGTGGTTGTCGACGAGCTCGCTGGAGACGGGGGTTGCGAACCCGGCGCTGGTCAGCGGGAGCACGCTGAAGAAGGCGGCGTTGGTGAGTGCGGATCGGTCGACGTTGACGATTTGGGATATCAGGGGGGCGAGGCTGGAGTATGAGCAAAAGTTTGAGAACAGTCATACGATTAGGGATCTGGACTGGGCGACCACGCCGGCGAAGCAGAGTATCTTGGCGGTTGGGTTTCCTCATCGGGTGTTGTTGCTGAGTCAGATGAGGTTTGATTATCTCAACAAGGGGCCGGCGTGGCTGCCGACGAGGGAGATTTCGATACGGCAGTGCACACCGCATCCGATTGGGGACTCGGTTTGGTTGGGGGGTGGACACTTGGTGATTGCGGCAGGGAACCAGCTGTTTGTGCATGATCGGGAGTTTGAGGCTTCGACGTCGCTTGTTCCGGCAACCGGGCTGAGGATACCGCATCGGAAGGGCAAGGCGAGGCAGCTTGATCTGTTTGAGGTTGTAGACCGGCTCAATGGCCCGCTGCCGGTTTTCCACCCGCAGTTCTTGAGCATGTGCATCCTTGCCGGAAGGATCTCGCTCGTTCACAAGGTCCTGCAGGCGTTGCGCAAGACGCTTCGGTTCTGGGCAGAGGGTGATGTGGTGGATGATTACCTCGGCCTCGACCTGGTGGAATTCTACGCCGGCGATGGGTCACTGCATAACGGCGGTGGCCACCCAAGAGAGTACCTCAACCGCCGGCAGTCGTTTGACGACGGCGACGAGCCCTTCTCGGAAGAAACAGCTGTCGACATCAACGAGCGCCTCACCCGCATTGGCATCCCTCAGCTCTCGGGCCACGAACAAATCCAACTCGTCGACATTGTAGAATGCGTCGGCGTAGTCGAAAAACAACGTCGCTCCCTCGACGAAAACGGAGCAAGATTCATGCTCGCCTTCAGGCAACACGCCCTGAGAAAGGGAAGAGCAAACGAGGTGCACATCTCGTGGCGCGAAATCAGCTGGGCATACCACTCCACCAGCCAAGACGTCCTTGTCGATTTTGTGACCAAGCAGAACCACGGCAGGATGCTGTGGGAGGGCGCGAGAGAAAGCGGCATGTTCATGTGGCTTGGTGACAACGCTGCCGTGAGGCAACAGTTTGAGATTATTGCGAGAAACGAGTACACCAAAGGCGAGGACAAGAACCCTATCGATTGCAGCCTCTATTACCTCGCCCTCAAGAAGAAGACTGTCCTCCAGGGCCTGTGGAGAATGGCAAGCTGGAATAAAGAACAGGCCTCGACGTCGAAGTTTCTGGCGAATAACTTTGACGATCCGAAGTGGCGGACTGCGGCGCTGAAGAATGCTTACGCGTTGATGTCAAAGCGGAGGTTTGAGTACGCGGCTGCGTTCTTCTTGTTGGCGGACCATTTGCATGATGCGGTGAACGTCTGTCTTAATCAGCTTCATGACTTGCAGCTCGCGGTGGCGATCACGAGGGTGTACGAGGGTGATAATGGGCCGGTGCTGAAGAGGCTTCTCGAAGAAGAAGTCCTATCCACTGCAGCAAAAGAAGGAAACCGCTGGTTAGCGTCGTGGGCATTTTGGATGCTTGGGCGTCGTGATATGGCTGTGAGGGCACTTATTGCAAGTCTTTCCCCCCCGCCCCGGGTTTCTTTTCTATAACACCCCCTGACTAACTCTTTGGAACAGACGCCAGTCTTTGCCCTCCTCTCCACCACCCCCTCCTCCCCACCCCCAGACGACGGCAACCTCAAATCCAAATCCTACCTCACCGACGACCCCGCCCTCGTAATCTTGTACCGCCAGCTCCGCCAAAAGACGCTTCAAACACTCCGTGGAGCGACAAAGGTCACGCCAAAGGTGGAGTGGGAGTTTGTGCTGCATTCTGCCGGGTTATATGACCGCATGGGCTGTGACTTGCTCGGCCTTGATTTGGTGAGAAACTGGGAGTTTTTCCACCCTGCCGCGCAGGCGATGACGGGGTTGGGAGGGGAGATTAACCCGTTGAGGCTGCTGAAGAGGAGGGGGAGCTTGGTTGTGGCTGATATTCCTATCCGTGGGGGGCCACTGTCGCCGCTTGCGACGCCGGGGGGGCAGATGCAGGTGCCGGGGGAGATGAAGACTGGTGGTGGTGGTGGGACAACGGCAAAGCCGAAGCCGCCTCCGACGGTGTTTGAGGAGCCGGATGCGAACTCCTTGTTGGACAGTTTTGGTTTTTAAAGAGGGGAGGTGAATGATGGAAAAAGGGGGAAGGGGGGTGACATGGCAGTGTAGATTCAAGGCATTCATTGTACATATTAAAAGAGAATCGATACATTACACCAAAACTGGACATTCATGAGGCAACTGGGGTATGATCAAAGGAAAGGACTGCTCTGTATTCATGCCATTGTATCCCTAAAAAAGCAAAAAGAAAGACAACTGTGTACTCCGAACCCAATCCATATACACGCCCCCCCTTGATACTCATTGTAGGTCTGATATCCATCCTGTACTTACTCTCCCTGTCGTCTCATCGTGTCCCCAAATCAAGCAAACCCGTCATAGCCCCCCCAGTTACATAACTCCACAAAAGCCAAACGCCATCCCAGTCCCTTCCCAAATATGCAAATCAAACCACCCTCCCCCGAAAATCACAACCTAACCGCAGCCCCAATCCCCCTCCCCCAATACCAAACCCTCTCCCTCCACCTCCCCAACCTAACCCCCACCACCGCCCTCGCATCCAGCTTCATCCTCCCCCCCAGCGCCTCCTCGACCTTATCATACCCCACGCTGTCCAAATCCCACACCACCGGCAACCTCGGCGTCTTGCTCTCCCCCGGCGGCGCCGCAAACGGCAAGTCATACTCAATCGTCCCGATCACTTCCGTATGGTTATACAGCGCCGTGGCGTTGACATGCTCTATATAAAGCATATTCTTTTTCAGCGGGCTCACAAGCGTAAACTGCGCCGTCGACGACCAGAGGTGAAACGTCGCATCCCGAATAAAGTGCGTCTTGTCGTCTTCCGACTTGCCGGGCAGAGACAGCTTCGGTGCGTCGAGCGTAAAGTTTAATCTCGAGAGCGACGCCCCCAAGGAGGGGAGAGAGGGGATCGTGCCAGCGTGGGTGCGGATCGTGATGGTGGTGTTGTACCCCGACAGATACTGAGAGATGAGCTCCCGGCCGACTTTGGGACCGTCCTTCTTGCCGCCGAGGATGGGATTCCAACTGGCAAAGACGGGGATGTTGGTGTTGTTTCCGAGACCAAGGTCAAGATTCTCTGCCTGGGCTTCTCCCAGCGTGGTGCCGTTCTTTTCAAAACGAATGCTGATAAAAGGAATATGTGCTGTATAAGGCGTAGGATTGGTAATGTTGACCAAAGCACGGAGTGAAATCGAATCAGGCGTCGTGTCGAGAATTTCAATGTTGCCAACTTTGGGTTCCGCAAGACCGGGGAGGTTCTTTCCAAGAGCTATTGACCAAGGTAATGTCAGTGACGGTGCACCACGAAGATGGTCGGTTGAGCTGCCAGCGCGGAATGGAATCATGGATGACCAATGGCGACTAACAGTGTGGTGATGATCAGAGTAGATACGGACGTTTAACTGGGATTTTGCCCTCGGCGGGCACCCTCTTGACAACGATGCCACCGAGGACTGTCTGCACCTGGACATCGACGAGCGCGTTGATGTCGAGCTCAACACCCTTTCCTCCGAAAAGCAAAGCTGCGATCACATCAGTCATGACGTCGGCGTCTGTCACGTTGAGTGGCGCATCGACAATCCGAGACTGAATCTTGAGGGTAGCCTCCCCGCCATCAGTAGCGGGGAACTGGGTCGAGTTTGCTTGTTGCCACTCTTTGAGGTTCAGCTCTCCAAGCTTGTCCTTCTTGTAGAAAACGTCGGCGTTGGCCCGAACATTGGTGACATTGAGAGAAAAGTTCATCTCCGCCGGAAGCCCGGCGATGACCCGAATCGTGCCCGACACTCTTGGGTTGGATTTGGGGTCGTCAGGCTCGGCTGCTGGATCTGGCATCTTGAAGTGAACATCCGTCAAGGAGAAGTCGCGAATCATGTTTTCAAACGATCGTCCTGGGAATGGCACAGGCACAGTGATGCTGGACAAGACATCAGCAAGCCAGGCTGGTGTGTCGCCGCCGGGCTTCTGTCGGCCTCGAACAAGCACGGTCGTTGTTTCGTTGCCAAGGAACTTTTCGAAGAGCAAATCGAGCGGTGAAGAGTTGGAGTTGGGACAAGCGCGAGTCAAAGGTTCAGGCAGTTTGTCGACAACACCATCGGCATCGACAGCAACTTCGGAGCGGGACTTGACAGAGGTGCGGTGAGTAATGGCGGACGCAATGACGATGGGAGCGTCATTTGTTCCGCATCCGGGGACAAGAATCTCGAATCCAAGCTCGGGGATATCGACCGAGATTGGGTACTCGTTAAAGGCTTTGATGGTGACCTCCACACCCATGGCCCACCGCTCAGCGTGTGACGTGCTTCGCTCAGGCACGGGAATCTCCTTAAAGTTGAGCCTGGTGATGTTATAAGCGGGCAGCTGGGGCATGTTGTGGCCTACACTACTAATCAGCAACATGTTCATGGTTGGGGCAGGCAATCCAGTAATCATTTTCAAAAGAGAGACTTCTCTCCAAAGTACAACGAAGCGAAAGTGCGGTAGAGGGATTGACCTTCAAATGTCAACGACTCAGCAATAGAGTGCGTTCCGAGAGGAATCATTCCCGCCCTCAGCTGAATATCAGCCTTTCCCAGCACCCGAACCGTATCCAGCCTTCCTTCCAACCACTCATTGGCAATCGTTCGGATACCCTCAGCGTCGCCCGGGATGAGATCGGCAACAAAATCCACCGCGTTGTTCTGGCCGTTGGCGATACTAACATCCATCGAAGGGACTGCCGCACTTCCCAGCAAGATGTTGTCGTAGTCTGGCAGGTAGACATTGATCCTGGTATCCTCCGTCCCGATACTTCCAACCAGCCATGTAGCAGCCTTGCCCACCCGTCTAACATGTTCGTTTTCCACACGCTGCGCATCAAGGCGGAAATTCGCCTGGATTCTGGCCCGTACACCGTTGGTCGTGATGGACACCAGCGACAGATTCGTCGGTTCAAGAACAATCGCTTGTTTGGCGTACTCCTCCACCGCGGCGGGCACAAAGAAAGCCCCAATCATAATCCCAAGCGCAAAGAGTGACAGTACAATCACAGCGATCAGTGAAGGCTTCGGTATCGATCTGTCTTTTGTCGATTTGACCGAGACGGCGTCCGTCTCGCCAGCAGCAACAGATGCTGTCTCGTCTCGTACGTCATCATCCTCGCCATCGTAGCGCCGAGTTGCGCTTGACGATAATAAAGGTGTTGATTCTGATTGTTCGTCCATCACTCGCGCATCGGGATCGGCGGCTTTCGGACTGCTCAACGCAGCCAGAAACGGCGTCGTTTCCGAGTCTGACATGATGACACTCGAGATGTCGATGGATTTTAGGCGCTGTTGGGTTGAATGGTTGGGCGGTGGGAAGAAGCTATTGCTTGCCGTCCGCCGAGGGACAACAGGGATGGTGCTTATCGTCGCCTTGGCCTATGACATGGCCAGTGAGGTGTTGTCACGAGGTCCCCGCAGCTATCGATAGTGATGGAAGAGAGAGAGAGAGAACCGCAAAACAGACGGCGGAATGGGTCGTTGAAGAATGAGAGACCTATGGTGATGTCGAGATGAAGTGAAGAGAGGAGCTATGTGCAGATAAGGTTGGGGCTGGATGACATCGCTCGGTTGTCCGCCTTGTTGCTGCCTCCGTTCTCCGTACCTTGGAAACGGCAGGGCGGGAACAGCCCACGCGGCCAGAGGTGTGGCGCTCAGTTGAGCAATGAGAGGTCATTGGTCAGTTAACAAAAGAAGGTGTGTGGCACGGGCGCCCAGCCTTGAGCAAGCGAGACCAGGAACAGGTCCCGAACGCGGGGGAGAAGACGGCCAGTGAAACAGCCGCAATTCGTCATCCTGCAGCGAGCCCTATCCCAGCAAAACTCAAAACGCCGATGCCTCCGATTCAAGGAGCACACCATGTTGAGCCAAATGTTGGGCGAGAAGCAAGAGGAAGCATCAGCTCGAAGCCAATTGGTGCCCTCAATCAGAAGACAGAGTTGAAGTCGAGATCTTCCCATGACCACACAGAATTCTACAAATGCTGCCTTGGTGATAGAGTCAGACAGACCAACTGACCTCATACAATTTTCCAACGGGACCGGTTACCGGACCCTTATTTTTTATACAAGTCATCAAGGTCCCCCCGTCTGGGCATCTTCCCTTTTTTTGGTCCAACCTGCATACTGACTCACGACCTGTTGCCCTCGTCAACCAATTTCCCCATAAGAAGAGGAGGCAATCCCAAGATACCTCTCATTCCAGAATTCAACCGTTTGATACCCACCCACTCCCCACTATCAGTCATCGAGATCTGATCCCAAGCCAAAGAGAGAGGAATTGTTTTACTCCCAGGCATTCCCTCCCTTTAAAAGATCTCTCGATAATACACCACCCACCCTTCTCACTCGTCATGATGCATCGTGCTGGCTTCCGCACACTGAAAACAACAATGGCTCACCTCCAGACTCGCTCCCTCTCCTCTGCTGCCTCCGGGTCGCAGCCCAGGCATCTCATGTCCATCGGCGACCTCACCCCAGCTGAGTTCACCAGACTAGTCCTCAACGCCTCCTCTCACAAAAAGGCCGTCAAAGATGCCTTCGCCGCCGGCCAGACACCACCAAAGCCCCTCCACGGCGCCATGACAGGCAAGACCGTCGCCATGATGTTCTCCAAGCGCAGCACCAGAACCCGCGTATCAACAGAAGCCGCCGTCCAGCTCATGGGCGGCCACCCAATGTTCCTAGGCAAGGATGACATCCAGCTCGGCGTAAGCCCCCCCTCTTTCTTCTTACATCTGTTGTACCCAATCTAACAACCCCCAGGTCAACGAATCCCTCCACGACACCTCAGTAGTAATCTCCTCCATGACCTCCTGCATGGTCGCCCGCGTAGGCCCTCACTCAGACGTGACCGGCCTAGCAGCCTCCTCCTCGGTCCCCGTAATCAACGCCCTCTCCTCCGACTTCCACCCCCTTCAAACCATCGCCGACTTCCAAACCATCCACGAGTCCCTCTCCTCCACCCCCTCCTCCTCCTCCCTCGGCCTCGAAGGTCTCAAAATCGCCTGGGTAGGCGACAGCAACAACGTCCTCTTCGACCTCGCCATCGCCTCGGTCAAAATGGGCGTCCACATCTCCGTCGCCTCCCCGACCGGCTACGGCATCCCCCCCAACATCAAATCCATCATCGTCTCCGCCGCCCAAGGCGTCCCCAACCCAGGCACCTTGACCGAAACAACCATCCCCGAAGAGGCGATCAAGGACGCGGATATCTTGGTCACGGACACGTGGGTGAGCATGGGGCAGGAGGAGGAGGCGAAGAAGAGGTTGGAGGCGTTCAGGGGGTACCAAATCACCCATGAGCTCGCCAAGCGCGGGGGGGCGAAGCCGAACTGGAAGTTTATGCACTGTTTGCCTAGGCATCCCGAGGAGGTGGACGATGCTGTTTTTTATGACGAGAGCAGGAGTTTGGTGTTTCCAGAGGCCGAGAATAGGCTTTGGGCTGCGGTTGGTAAGTCACCCTTGAACATTGTCACCCGTTTTTTGTGAGATGAAGCTTACAACTCTTGACACAGCTGCCCTCGAGGCGTTTGTGGTCAACAAGGGCAAGATTCTCTGAATCTTTGGGGTAGATGAGATGAGGTAGAAGGGGGGTCTACAAAAAAAGTGTCTTGGTTGGTTTTACATCAGGGGGCTAGGGAGCGTATGGCTTTTTTTTCTGGAGAGAGGCGTACGGAAACAAAAAAAGTTATATATCACGGGTAGCGATTTGAGAAAGATGTCAAAATAATCTGGACAATTCAGATTCGGTATCAATTTCCTCTTTAGATTCGGTTCTACGCCGTTCCACCCACACGCCTCACAAGTAAAACACCCGCGTAAACACTTTTTGTAGCTCTCCCAGAACTCTCAGAATCAAAGCAAATCGTTCCATTTCATTATTACTACCAAGATTGTTTTAACCAGGGGGGAGGGTGCTGGCATCGACAACCTCGTCAGCGTCCTTGACGTGCTGATCCTGCTCATCAGGACCGTAGAGGGGTGATCTAGGCAGGGCCATCAGACCGGTGCGGGCGGACTCGAGAATGCCAAAAGGAGCGATGAGCTTGAGGAAGGAGTCGATTCTCTCGGGCTTAGCGGAACTGTTTTTAAGGAAGTGCATATTAGTGACTGTTCGACTGGTTTGGGGGGGTGGGTGACTCAAGGTCTAACCAAGCAGTGAAAAAGCTTGGCCTGATAATGAAAAGTGGGGGGGAAGGGGGGTCACTTACATCTCAACAATGCAGCTGTTAGTGCTAATATCGAGAACCTTTCCGCCAAACTGATGAGCAAAATAAGTGATATTCTTGAGATGCTCATGCTTGTGACGCAGAGCCTCGCTGACAACCAGCCTGCTAGGGTGGAAGTCCTGCGACACCTCCTCCAAGCTAGGTTCAGAAGCAGCAGGGGCCGCCTCAGCAGCCTCAGCAGGAGCCGTGATCTCCCTGTGGTGGGCGAGGAGCTCCTCAAAGTACTCGGGACCAAGAATGTTGATCTTGGCGAGGAGAAGCTCGCGCTGGACGAGAGCAGAGTTTGTATAGTCCAGAACGGCCCATACGGGGACGAGATCCTCGAGTTGGCGACGGGCCTGCTCGACGACGCCGTCTTGCCCGGTAAGCACGATGGTCATGCGGGAGAGGTCCTCTACTTCGGTGTTGCAGACGACGAGGGAGTCGATGTTGAAGCCGCGGGCGGCGAGAATGCCGGAAACGCGGGAGAGGACGCCGGGCTCGTTTTGGACGAGGCAGTTGAGGACATGGCGCTTCGGAGGGGCGACGGAGGGGGTGGGGGTCTCGTAGAGGATGTTGGACACGGCTGCTTGGGCTGACCACGAGGGGGGCTGGTCGCTGATGGGGAGGGGTGCCTGCCGGCGACGGTTGGCTTTGTAGGCAATGGCCGAGGTGGAGGAGCTCTTGCCGGAGCTGTGCCTGACGGCGGTTTGCGCCAGGAGGCCGGCACGGGCCTGCGTCGCTATCCTCTTGGAGGGAGCGAAGAGGCAGCGGGAGGCCATCTCTAGCTGTGGGTTGGCGAACCGGGCAGGTTCGTTTTGCTGGGGAAGGGGTCGATCAGGTTTGTTTATCGTCAATCTGAAGGAGCTGTCGACGTCAACATGGGGTGTTTGTTTCGCGGATCAACAAGCTGAGTCACCACAATGTCGGGAAGCCGGGGAAGGAAAGGGTTGAAGAGGAAAAAGTGACTGACCGAATCGGCGCTCAGGTCCGGCGTGCACACCGCGAAAACCCTCCACAACGGCTGGCTGTCACAGCTCAACTGAGCTCAACTGGCTCAACTGGCATTGGTCAATGGCCGCTAGCCAGCGCTTGGCTCCGGACTCGGTGAGAGGTGGTGGGGTTTTCAGTGGTGATGGTTCCGGAAGGTCGGTTAAACCCTCCTCCGGCCGTCCATTTCCGGGCATCTCTGTCTGCAGACAGGTACCCGGACGTTTTCCAGGTCCCTGGTCCTCATCGGCCACACAGTATTTGGAACAGTGTGTGCCTCCGCGTCGTGGACAAAATATCATCTCAAGACCTTTGAAGATAAGTTATTGTTGATATACCTTTGAAAACAGCCAACAGGCCTTTGATGATAGCTGACGTATGCTTGAAGGCCTATTGACTGTCTTTTCGTATGTCTACTTCGTATCGGGCTGTCTTTGAAAGCCTATCGACTATCATGTTCTAGGGCCCATGCTCTGCATCAGTCTCCATTTACTGTCCAACATAACGCCCCGTTTTCATCCTTCCACTGGCGAGCCTCGTGCATTTTTCTGCGCAACCGAAACTTTGGAGCTGTCCAAGGGCCTCCATTATATGACACTTCGACAACCTCTTATTGAATCCAACTCCGTTGCGCTACTTTTCTGTCTCGCCCAGCCAGTCCTCAACTTCGCCTGTCTATCCGCAACAGATACGGTCCCTCCGTTCCGTCCTTCTTCACCTGCGACTTGACACCTGTGCCTCGCCGAGAGAAACGAAACGCGCGCGCAATGGACGGACGTAGCACGAAGCGGTCTCGCTTTGACCAGACCGAGCCGGAGCCTCGCCGTCCTTCGAGATTCGACCGTCGATCCCGTTCGCCGCCGGGGCGCAAGCCCGACTCGGATCGCGAACGTGAGCGCAGCCCTCTTTCTCGGCCTCGCGACGCGCCCACCGGTCCCAAGTCCCCAGTTGATCCCGCTGCTGCTGCCGGTAGGTCCTGAAGTTTTTTTTACTCTTTTCTTTTCTCCTTGACACGCCTAAGCCTCTCCTTCCTCTTTCCAATGCTAACGTATCCAACAGCCGCCGCCGCTGCCAAGATCAACGCTCAGCTACAGGCCCGCAAGGGCATCCAACATGTAGATGTCCCACCCGTCCGGTCCGCGTCGTCCGGCAAAGAAGGAAGCGCCGGACCTGCCCTCAACGGGGAGGTGTATGTTGCCGATGGCGACTTTATCAAGGACATCGAAGTGAACGATCTGCGCAACCGCTACCTTCTGACCAAAGGCTCGACCCAGAAAATGGTAAATAACTCCTTGTGTTGCCTACTGATACACCATCAGGTCAATATCCAAGCTTTTTGTGCGGGACAGTCTTGCTTACTGGAAGCTTGATAGCTCGCACAGGCACACCCACTTTTGCATCTGCTAACCTCGGCTGCTTGATCTAGATTAAAGATGAGACTGGTGCCGGTACGCCCACACTTGATACCTCTGCTATTCTGTTTGGACTACGGTTGACCACATGTGTTTCAAGATGTCACCACTCGCGGAAGCTACTTTCCCGACAAGTCGATGGCCACGCCGGCGAACCCTCCTCTCTACCTCCACGTAACGTCCACGACCAAGGAAGGCTTGGACAAGGCAGTAGCCAAGATCGAGGAGTTGATGAAGCAGGAACTCCCCCAACTTGTCGATGAGCGCCGCTTTCAGCGCCGCCACAACCCCGAGCAGCCGCCGGTCGAGCGTGACGAGTTTGGCCGAGTAAGTACTATCGAATTTGTTGTGAAAGAATCTGCTGACCATGTACAGCGCAAATGGCCCGAGGAGAAGATAGCAATCACGCTCGAGTCGGTCCCAGGTTTCAACCTGCGCGCTCAGGTTGTTGGACACGGTGGCGCATACGTCAAGCATATCCAGTCGGAAACTGGGTGCCGTGTTCAGATCAAGGGCCGCGGGTCCGGATACATCGAATCCTCCACGGGCCGTGAAAGCGAAGAGGACATGTACCTCCATGTTGCCGGCCCCGATCCTCTCATGGTCAAGAAAGCAAAGGAGCTCTGCGAGGATCTGTTGGACAACGTAAAGCAGGAGTACGAAGCATTCAAGAGTCGGCCTCCTCCTCAGCGACATTACAACGGCGGAGGTGGTGGTGGTGGTGGCTACGGCGGCGGTCGAGGTGGTGGCGATTCATTCCATGGTCAAGCATACAACCGCGACAGTCACAGTCACCACAACAGCAGCCACAGCCAAAGTCATAGTTACAGCAACTCCCCTGCCCCTCCGGCAGCCTCTTCTTCGGCATCTCCTGCACCAGCGGCCAGCACTCCCACAGCAACGAACCCGGCTGACTACGCCGCTCAATACGCGCAATACATGCAGTACTACGGCAGCGCAGCAGCTGGTGCTGATCCGTACGCGGCGTATGGAGGGTATGAAGCGTACATGCGAATGTACCATCAATGCATGGCAAGCCAACCACAGCAAGCTCCCGCTGCCCCAGGTGCATCTGCATCTCCCCCTCCTCCTCCACCAAGCGATGCGGCGCCTCCCCCACCGCCTCCTTCCTCGGCTCCTCCCCCTCCCCCACCAGGAGGACCCCCAGGCACCTCTGGTGGGATGTACAGCGCGGTATGATTCTCTCTGATTGCTTCAGAAGCCGCTTGACTAACTTTTGTCTAGCAACCTCCACCTCCGGGGCTCTAGAGAAGGCAATAAACAAAGAAAAGGAGACTACCTACTTTTGGGAATGGGGGGGGGGGGGGCCCTCAGCGATAGTCAATATGCCTCGGTAGATTAGTTACTATGGCTCTAAAATATAGTCAGGACGCCCTTTGGCCAGATTTGACACGCCTTCAAGCACGGTCAAACACCTTCAAGTACCGTGAATATGCCTTGAAAGATGGTCGAAGGCCTTTCCGTTATCTTTGAAGGGCTTGCCATTGAAGATAGTCCGCATACCTTCCAAGCTATTGAAGAGGAGTTTGAAGATAGTTGAGAGGCCTTTTGCAACATTTTGAAGCCTTAGTTTTACAAGTAATCAGTCTCCTTCCTCTTGCTGTCATGATATCTCCGGGCCGTGCCGTTGGTCAAGTCCAAGCTCCGTGCCTGAGTGTGTGGGGAGCTTTAAGCTCCATTCTTTCCCCACACAGCCGCCGGGCCGCAGTGTCACCTTCATCCAGCAGCTTCAACCTACAAACTCACATTGACGGTTGCCCTTGCCATCCCCTGTTGAAGCGGCTGGTATATTCTCCTATTTCACGATATAACGTTTTTCATCGAATCCCGTCGCCGAAATGAGTCACCAGCGTCACTTTTCCGACGCGGCGGTCAAGGAGCCTCACTCTGTGTCCCTCAAGGTTCTCCGGCACGTCTTTTTCCCTATCCAACTATTATATCATGGGTGTCGACTAACAAATGGGGAAGTCTGACCCGGCCATCTCTCGTATCTCAATACCCCCTCTCACCACCTCTGTCCTCCTCCGCCATTACGCCCCCTCCTCCCCTTCCCGCCTCGCTATCTTACTCCCCCTCCAGCACCAACCCGACCCCTTTCTTACTCTCCCCCATCCTCGCCCTCCCCCCAAGCTTCGGCTCGGCATATGTTGGGACAACCTTTTCTTGCACCCTCTGCGCGAATCATGACATCCCCCCCCCCATCGACGGCGGTCCCCCCCTGTCGGTGAAGACGATCCGGGATGTCAAGATCGAAGCAGAGATGAAGACGCCTTCCTCTCCTACCCTCATCCCGCTGCTACCCCCCGGGAATGATGAGGGAACAGATCTCAGCCCGGGTGGGACACTCCAAAAGATTGTGAGTTTTGATCTACGGGAGGAGGGGGCGCACACGCTGGTGGTGCAGGTTAGTTACTACGAGGCTACGTCGACGAGCGGGAGGGCGAGGATGTTTAGGAAGTTGTATCAGTTTGTTTGCAAGGGGTTGTTGGTTGTGCGGACGAAGACTTCTGCGCTTGGGTTGGGGAAGCAGGGGAATAGGAGGTGGGTTTTGGAGGCGCAGGTTGAGAACTCGGGTGGTGGGGGGGAGACGGGGGATG